AAGATGCTGGAGTCATCTGTTCTACGTCAACTTCTTTCCCTGTTGTTTCCGGCATGCAAGGTGACTTGGCTGTGCACCAGTTTCTTGGACTTAAGAAAAGAGTACTGTACTATAACCCCCACTCGAAAATCTGGTTATGAATCCGCTCTTGGCCTTGGCTCAGGGCAATATAAAAACGGCCAAATTTGTCCGCGCTCTAGGCCTGTCCCCCGGTGTCCCACAAAAAAAAATGTGCAAAATGTAAATTGTGGGTTTTTTTAATCGTTGAAGGCCAATATCCTCCATTGGTAATAGGCCACTCACTGCGCTGCGGCGGCTTGCGTGGCATTTTAGGGCTCTACCTTCAAAGTCCGACACCTTCTGTCATGTCTGTGTGGAGTCGTGTTGTTATAAATAATTTCTTTACATTTTTGTCAACCAAGAAAGTGGCACTTTTTAGTAGCACCTAAACAATGCACTATCGTCATAGGCAATGTACTTTCCATTTCCAAAAAGTTTTAGACTAAGTTGCGTCATGTACACCTCAAAAAGTTTGTGCACTGTTGCATGTTTCGCGTCGATTGAGGGCCTCCTCTATGCAACATGTGGCGACATGAAAATATTTACTAGTATTAAAAGTTGGCCACAATATTCGCCTACAATACAAATCTCTCTTAAAGACTTTGTCATCATATTCCTTACAGTTCTCACACGAAAATATACTCTTTGAGGAGGTACAAGGTAAGCAAAAGAAAGGTCTTTTTTCTGTTTCGAAAGTAGCGTCAGGTTACAACATTTTTTTCCTGATCCGTCCACATGCAAAATGCATTGAGGGGACCGTATTCCGTGATGCTCTCGATAGACGGGTATCAGGTCAACTCGGACCCAAACCAAGTCGGACCCATGCCAAGTCGGACCCACGCCAACTCGGACCCACGCCAACTCGGACCCACTACCAACTCGGACCCACGACCAACTCGGACCCACGACCAACTCGGACCCACGACCAACTCGGACCCACTACCAACTCGGACCCAAGCACGACCAACTCGGACCCAACAATGACTCAATCATTAGTTTCAGAGATTATATTTATAGGTAATCTTGATGTTAGTGCTTATAATTATAGTGAAGATATTCTGTAAAAAAATACATTGGGCAGAATGGGGCTTTTAGTTTTGTTTTCTTGTATTGCCGCTGTGTGGAGCGCTATTTTATGATGCGTATAGTAAATACTGATGCTAAACGTTTATCGTTTTGAATGTCATGAAACTATAAACGTGCTTAGCTTTTTGAAACCGTGACCTGTGAAGCTAAACCAAGAGGTATTAATAGCGTATAGTATTAGGCATATCGTATGTCATTTGTACAACTTGATATATACGTGCTTTTTCAAAATCTCGATTTTCTTTTCCAAACGAAATTCAAAGGATTATAATTTTCAGTAAAAAATAAATTACTTGTTAATTTGTTTTTGCAGGCCCTTGTGTCGTGTAACAAGTGGTTTTAAGTGGCACATTTTGTTTCAGTGAGGAAGTTATTAATTTGAAATAACTATTAAGGCCTTTCATTTCATGTAATTGTTTGGTTTTTTTAATTCACATGCTGGCTTTGAATTTTGTGGGATTTTTTTATGAATCTGTTTAACTTTTAATAATTTTTTGATTTAACTTTTTTCCCCCGTGGAACATCATAGTGGAACATACAGGCAGCTACCTGTAAGGCCTTGAAGGAAAATCTTCCCAGAGCTCCAATACTCCTTTTTGATGATTGACATTGCATCTATTTGTAGGGGATTAAACTTGATCATTTTTTAATTCACATGCTGGCTTTGAATTTTGTGGTGTTTTTTTAGGAATCCGATTAACTTTTTATACTTTTTTTTATTTAACTTTTTTGTTTAATATGGAACCTTCGTTTTTCTTGCAGTGTATGCAATGGTGTTAATGTGTTTCTTTTAAAATGGAGATTAGAATAGACTTCGTTTTTATATCTTATTTTATTTATTGACTTATAATGTTTACTTATATTTATTGAGTTAAAAATGTTATGTTTGAAAGTGTTTATGTTTTAATGCCATATTTTCCAATTATATTTTTCTATGAAGATCAGCCCTGTTCTTAATTTGTATACTCGTTACGTTGAAGTTTGGATTAAAATGAAATAAATTGCTGTTAAATTTAGCAAGATGGTGTGAACGATGTCAATTAATATGTTTTAATGAAAATAAATAATTGGTTAAACTTTTAAAGCGCAATATGTTTTAATGGAAACAAATAAAAATAATAAATAATTAATTACACTTTTAAAGCGCATTTCAAAATAGCATTTCAATGCGCTTTACAACGACAAAAATGTTATACTGCTGCAATACAGATATGAGATAATTTACCTTACAATTACAATGAAAATTTATACTAAACAGCATCACTGTAATAACAGATGAGAAGTGGACAAACTTTATGAAATGAATGATTGAAAACGATGTCGAACGATTGAAAACGATGGGTCCGAGTTGGTCACGCATGGGTCCGAGTTTGTAGTGGGTCCGAGTTGGTTGTGGGTCCGAGTTGGTTGTGGGTCCGAGTTGGTCGTGGGTCCGAGTTGGTCGTGGGTCCGAGTTGGTCGTGGGTCCGAGTTGGCATGGGTCCGAGTTGGTAGTGGGTCCGAGTTAGCATGGGTCCGAGTTAGCATGGGTCCGAGTTGGCTTGGGTCCGAGTTGGATTGGGTCCGAGTTGGATCGAAACCGATAGACGAATCCAGCTGGCATGTTATCAGTTTACGCTCAGGAGGCCCCCTTCAATGGAGAAACCATTGTACACACTGGTGAACAAAGCAGCTGCCCCTTAGTTGACGGATTATCTTAAACAATGGCTTTGCCATTGAAGCTTTGAAGGGGTATTTGTGATTAGAATTGTTAGCATGCGTGGATTGCATGGAGCCTAGATGTTGAGACTATACAGAGGCCTGGATGTAGAGCACGACTGAGGTAACACCTGTCTTCAATGAATGTAGACTTCAATATTGGAATGTTTCCCTCAGGAGTCATTTCTAGTATAAGCTTGCTGTGATGAGCTTAAAAGCGGAAAAGCATTGTTTATGTTCTGATTTTGTTTTTTAAATTTCCACTTCAAATCCCATAGACTTTGTACATGTTTATTATTTCCGTCTGGCTTTTTGACCTTAAACAAACTTGTATTCTAATGAAACTGAACCAGTGTAAAGACCCCATGTGCAGCGAACTTGTGTCCTGTAGAATGAGGTCATGATGACTTCGTCATGGGTCATCTTAAATGTGCAAACGTGAAGACCCTCTATCTAGAGAACTGTAAGTCCGATTGAGTTGAAACTCGGTATGTAGTTAGACCGGTATGTGTAAAAATAGAGGTGACGTCATAATGACATCATCATGTGATTTTACATCGATTTTTGAAGTTTTGAAGATTATCACCATATCTCTCGAACCCAACATGCTAAACTCAAAAAAAATGTGTATTAGGCTTGGTAGGTAGTATGTATGTGTACAAAAATTCGAAAAATATGTGACATCACAATGACATAATCAAAAATTTTGATTTTTCAAAACACATGTAAGGGTAAGTCTGATTGTCTTGAAACTTGGCGGGTAGGTAGACACTGTTAAAGGGAAAATACAACATTTGCAAACATCAAAAAATAAAACTACCAAATCATTTTGAAATACCTTGCTGGACTGTTAGTGAATGACAGTGTAAAGCATCCTGTAAAATCATGGCACCTGGTTTACTGTCATTTTCAAGAAAAGTGGTATTTTTGTATCAATTTGCAACGCTGATCGGCCGATCAGCGTTGGAAAAAACTGGCTTTTTTCCAAATACTGGCCCCAGTTGACCATCGCACTTGTTTGCAATCGATTACACACCTATGAACGGGTACAAGCCAGCTAGACTGGTTCCCTAACCTTACAATTCCCCAATATATGTAAACTGCTCTGTTTCTTCTTAAATGGAGTCAGGGAACCAGACTACAGGAAAATGATTGTTTTTCTTGGTTTTTAAAGCATTTTCGAACCCAAAACCTCAAAAAAGTCAGTGTAACTATATTTGCTATATATTTCCAACCCCCCAATTCCATCCATTTCTGAAAATTACAGCAAAAGCAAATGATGTATATTCCCTTTTATATAGAATGCAAAATCTGAAGTGACTGTGACATCATGATGATGTCATCACCTGATTTTGTATTAATTTATATGTTGTTTTCATTGTTTTCTAATACAAAAAAAATGTTCTGTTCATCGAGCAGACATTATAGCTCTAGTTTATTTGTTTATTTGCTTCCTGAAGTGTGCCTTGAATTTCAGTTGCCATACAGATAGTTCGTGAAAAGTTCTTTAAACTATGAAGACTGTTTTATAACTTAAGGACCCTCTTCATGGCTATAGCCTATAGATTCTTAAAATGCTCGTAAAAATGCCCGAAATACCATTGAACAAGACATGAAATATGTTCATTAGGTGTTGTTAAAATGATAATATTTGGTTTAGGAAAGAGAAAACCTGTTAAATTCCATTCACATTAGAACAGCCCACCCCAGTCATGGCATGAATCATGGGTGCTCCAGGTTTTTTTGTGGGTGCATGGTGGGGAGGGGACATTTGCCCACCCCACCCTCATTGACACCCCCGCCCACTTTGTTAAATGTGTATTAAATTAATGGCAAATATGACTTCACATCTCCTTTTCATTTTTGTTGTTGTTGCTTGTTTTGTGCTTTTTTAGGGGTGGGGGTGGAGGGGAAGGTGCCCCCCCCTCTTACTACGCCCATGGTCTGAATGAAAATAATTAAATGTACAAAAAATAATAGGGGTCCATAATGCATTAAACTGAATATTCATAAACAGTAAAATGACCAGTGAACTCAGCCTGGTATCAGTGATATTTTCTCTCTGATTCACCACGCAATCAAATAGTGTTAATTAATTAGTGTAACAGCTCGTCTCGTCTTAATACAATCCCACGTTGAACATTACTCATCCCCAGGGGATGTCCGTTTGGCTGATGGATTCTACCCATATCAAGGGCGTGTGGAGATTTTCAACGGAGAATGGGGCACAGTCTGTGATGACTCTTGGGATATCCAAGACGCTACCGTCGTCTGCCGTCAACTGGGCTACCCAGGTGCTGAGAGGGCTGTATCTGCGGCTGCCGAGTTCTCTACTGGAGATGGGCCAATTTTCCTGGACGATTTGTCTTGCACAGGAGACGAGCCAAATCTAGGACAGTGTGGGCACCGAGGATGGGCAAACCATAATTGTGGACATTCAGAAGATGCCGGTGTGGTATGCTCCACTCCAAGTACAGATACCATGCCCTTTTCAGGTAGGTATCCAAATGAAGTCTAGGTTCCCTTTTCAGGTAGGTATCCAAATGAAGTCTAGGTTCCCTTTTCAGGTAGGTATCCAAATGAAGTCTACGCTTTTCAAGGAGATTCCGGCTTAAAGGTAATTTGGTAAAGGTACAACATTTGCAAAAAAAAACAAAAAAACGGCCACATTACTATGTGGTACCTTACTTGACTGTAAGTGAATTATTTAGTCTGAAGCATTACGGTGAAATCATGGCACCTGGTATGCTGTCATTTTCAAAAAAGCGGACTTTTTGTATCAATTTCCAATGATGGTCGGCCAATCATCGTTGGAAAAAAGTCCAGATTTTCCTAATCCTGCCCTCAATTCACCAAATTTAGTTTACTTAAGCCCACATTTTGTTTGCACGTAGTTACACATCGGTGAACGGATGCAAACCAGCTAGTCTGGTTCCCTGACCTGACAATACCCAGACGTCTATAAACTGCTCTGTTTCACCTGGAGAGGGGTCAGGGAACCAGACAACAAGAAGATTTTGTTTTCTTTTTTTTTTCCAGCATCCCTGAACACTAAACTTTGAACAGGTCAGTGACAGTGTAACAATATTTGCTAAAAATACCGACCCCGAAACCTATTTTTATGTGGTCCATTAAATATTACCATGGACTGCGTATGTTCCTTTAAAGCTATAGTCCATCATTTGCAGCCATCCAAAAAGTAACTGGCATAATTATTGTTGAAAAACATACTTGGTTGAAAGATAGTAAGGGGACTAAACTCCCTGTGAAATTATTCTTTCTGGCAAGAAGGCCTTTCCAACAGTGCGTCTTAAGACGCACCGTAGGAAAATTTAGATTAGTAGTTTGTTTTGTTATTCGGCGAAACCCGCAAGCATTGGCACGATGCACATGCGCGCGCGGGTGCTATAATTCGTCGCGTTTAGCTGCAATCGGCTCAGTGAGAACACGTCTCAGACGCTGAATTCAGGCCGCCCCCCCCCCCCCATTCAAAACATGATTCAGCAACTTTTGATTTGAAATTGAGATCCTAGAATGCTGTTTTTCTCGGAATATACAGCTGAAACTGAGCTGAAACTTCTTCAGGTTAGTTGTTCAGTATCCTTCATTAGATTTTGAACACTTTTGTCGCTTCAAACCAACAAAATGCACAAATTACAAATGATGGACTGTATCTTTAAAGATCTGCAGCTCCGGGTACATGATGTATTTCAATGTGTATGTTGACAGTTCAATGGGGTTTTATATCTCCAGATGGCAGCGTTCGACTGATGGACGGTAGCTCACCTGCAGAGGGACGTGTTGAAGTCTACTTTCAAGGGGGGTGGGGGACTGTCTGTGATGACCTGTTCGATATCCAAGATGCTACCGTCATATGTCATCAGCTTGGTTTCCCATCTGCAGTGAGAGCTGTATCTGCTGCCGCTGAATTTTCCATCGGCAGTGGAGCAATTCTCCTGGACAATCTTGAGTGCTCAGGAGATGAAAGTACACTTGCAGATTGTTCCCATGCAGGATGGACTGTAAACAACTGTGGCCACTCAGAAGATGCTGGAGTCATCTGTACTACATCAGCAACTGCTGGACCAGAGGTTTCAGGGATACCAGGTAAATATAGCCTTTTCACAGCTACCAATAGCTTTGATTGTTTAAGAAATGGGATTACGAGATTGCAAATGGTGGTTTCTCTTACCTGTAAAAATATTGCTTTCTTATTTTGTATGTAGATGGCAGTGTTCGATTAGTTGATGGAAGCTCATCTTCCGAGGGACGTGTTGAGGTCTACTATCAGGGTAGCTGGGGAACTGTTTGCGATGACTTATTTGATATCCAAGATGCTACCGTCATCTGTCAGCAACTCGGTTTCCCATCTGCATTGAGAGCTGTATCTGCTGCCGCTGAATTTTCCATTGGCAGTGGAGCAATTCTCCTTGACGATGTTCAGTGCTCAGGAGATGAAAGTACACTTGCAGATTGTTTCCATGCAGGATGGACTGTAAACAACTGTGGCCACTCAGAAGATGCTGGAGTTATCTGTACTACATCAGCAACTGCTGCGCCAGAGGTTTCAGGGATACCAGGTTAATATAGCCTTTTCACACCTACAAATAGCTTTGATTGTTTAAGAAGTGGGGTACCCAGATCGCAAATTGTGCATTCTCTTATCTGTAAATATATTGCTTTGTTATTTATTTTGTGTGCAGATGGCAGTGTTCGATTAGTTGATGGAAGCTCATCTTCTGAGGGACGTGTTGAGGTCTACTATCAGGGTAGCTGGGGAACCATCTGCGATGACTTATTTGATATCCAAGATGCTACCGTCATATGTCAACAACTTGGTTTCCCATCTGCATTGAGAGCTGTATCTGCTGCTGCTGAATTTTCCATCGGTAGTGGAGCAATTCTCCTGGACGATGTTCAGTGCTCAGGAGATGAAAGTACACTGGCAGATTGTTCCCATGCAGGATGGACTGTAAACAACTGTGGCCACTCAGAAGATGCTGGAGTCATTTGTTCTACAACAGCAACTGCTGCGCCAGAGGTTTCAGGGATACCAGGTAAATAGGCTTTGCACCAGTAGAAATATCTTTGATTGTTTACGAAATGGGGTAATGAGATTGCAAATTGTGGTTTCTCTTATCTGTAAATATATTGCTTTGTTATTTTGTGTGTAGATGGCAGTGTTCGATTAGTTGATGGAAGCTCATCTTCTGAGGGACGTGTTGAGGTCTACTATCAGGGTAGCTGGGGAACTGTTTGCGATGACTTATTTGATATTCAAGATGCTACTGTCATATGCCAACAACTTGGTTTCCCATCTGCATTGAGAGTATCTGCTGCTAGTGAATTTTCCATTGGCAGTGGAGCAATTCTCCTGGACAATCTTGAGTGCTCAGGAGATGAAAGTACAATTGCAGATTGTTCCCATGCAGGATGGACTGTAAATAACTGTGGCCACTCAGAAGATGCTGGAGTCATCTGTACTACATCAGCAACTGCTGCACCAGAGGTTTCAGGGATACCAGGTATTAAATTGGCCTTTCACCAAAAAGATTGTTTAAGAAAAGGGATTACGAGATCGCAAATTGTGGTATCTCTGATCTGTAAAAATATTGCTTTGTTATTTTGTATGTAGATGGCAGTGTTCGATTAGTTGATGGAAGCTCATCTTCTGAGGGACGTGTTGAGGTCTACTATCAGGGTAGCTGGGGAACTGTTTGCGATGACTTATTTGATATTCAAGATGCTACTGTCATATGCCAACAACTTGGTTTCCCATCTGCATTGAGAGTATCTGCTGCCGCTGAATTTTCCATCGGCAGTGGAGCAATTCTCCTGGACAATCTCGAGTGCTCAGGAGATGAAAGTACACTTGCAGATTGTTCCCATGCAGGATGGACTGTAAACAACTGTGGCCACTCAGAAGATGCTGGAGTCGTCTGTTCTACATCAGCAACTGCTGTGCCAGAGGTTTCAGGGATACCAGGTAAATGGGCCTTGCACCAGTACAGATATCTTTGATTGTTTAGGAAAAGGGATTACGAGATCGCAAATTGTGCTTTCTCTTATCTGTAAAAATATTGCTTTGTTATTTTGTACGTAGATGGCCGTGTTCGATTAGTTGATGGAAGCTCATCTTCCGAGGGACGTGTTGAGGTCTACTATCAGGGTAGCTGGGGAACAGTCTGCGATGACTTATTTGATATCCAAGCTGCTACCGTCATCTGTCAGCAACTCGGTTTCCCATCTGCATTGAGAACTGTAAATGCTGCCGCCGAATTTTCCATTGGCAGAGGAGCAATTCTCCTTGACGATGTTCAGTGCTCAGGAGATGAAAGTACACTTGCAGATTGTTTCCATGCAGGATGGACTGTAAACAACTGTGACCACTCAGAAGATGCTGGAGTCATCTGTACTACATCAGCAACTGCTTTGCCAGAGGTTTCAGGGATACCAGGTAAATAGGCTTTGCACAGCTACAAATATCTTTGATTGTTTAAGAAAAGGTATTACAAGATTGCAAATTGTGCTTTCTCTTATCTGTAAATATATTGCTTTGTTATTTTGTATGTAGATGGCAGTGTTCGATTAATTGATGGAAGCTCATCTTCTGAGGGACGTGTTGAGGTCTACTATCAGGGTAGCTGGGGAACAGTCTGCGATGACTTATTTGATATCCAAGATGCTACCGTCATATGCCAACAACTCGGTTTCCCATCTGCATTAAGAGCTGTATCTGCTGCTGCTGAATTTTCCATTGGCAGTGGAGCAATTCTCCTGGACAATCTTGAGTGCTCAGGAGATGAAAGTACACTTGCAGATTGTTCACATGCAGGATGGACTGTAAACAACTGTGGCCACTCAGAAGATGCTGGAGTCGTCTGTTCTACATCAGCAACTGCTGCGCCAGAGGTTTCAGGGATACCAGGTAAATCGGCTTTGCACCAGTACAAATATCTTTGATTGTTTACGAAATGGGGTAATGAGATTGCAAATTGTGGTTTCTCTTATCTGTAAAAATATTGCTTTGTTATTTTGTGTGCAGATGGCAGTGTTCGATTAGTTGATGGAAGCTCATCTTCCGAGGGACGTGTTGAGGTCTACTATCAGGGTAGCTGGGGAACTGTTTGCGATGACTTATTTGATATCCAAGATGCTACTGTCATATGCCAACAACTTGGTTTCCCATCTGCATTGAGAGTATCTGCTGCCGCTGAATTTTCCATTGGCAGTGGAGCAATTCTCCTGGACAATCTTGAGTGCTCAGGAGATGAAAGTACAATTGCAGATTGTTCCCATGCAGGATGGACTGTAAACAACTGTGGCCACTCAGAAGATGCTGGAGTCATCTGTTCTACAACAGCAACTGCTGCACCAGAGGTTTCAGGGATAACAGGTAAATAGGCCTTGCACTAGTACAAATATCTTTGATTGTTTAAGAAAACGGATTACAGGATTGCAAATGGTGGTTTCTCTTATCTGTAAAATTATTGCTCTGTTATTTTGTATGTAGATGGCAGTGTTCGATTAGTTGATGGAAGCTCATCTTCTGAGGGACGTGTTGAGGTCTACTATCAGGGTAGCTGGGGAACTGTCTGCAATGACTTATTTGATATCCAAGCTGCTTCTGTCATTTGTCACCAACTTGGTTTCCCTTCTGCATTGAGAACTGTAAATGCTGCCCTTGAATTTTCCATTGGCAGTGGAGCAATTCTCCTTGACGATGTTCAGTGCTCAGGAGATGAAAGTACACTTGCAGATTGTTTCCATGCAGGATGGACTGTAAACAACTGTGGCCACTCAGAAGATGTTGGAGTCATCTGTACTACATCAGCAACTGCTGCGCCAGAGGTTTCAGGGATACTAGGTAAATAGCCTTTTCACAGCTACAAATAGCTTCGATTGATTAAGAAATGGGGTAACCACATCGCAAATTGTGCATTCTCTTATCTGTAAATATATTGATTTGTTTTTTATTTTGTGTGCAGATGGCAGTGTTCGATTAGTTGATGGAAGCTCATCTTCCGAGGGACGTGTTGAGGTCTACTATCAGGGTAGCTGGGGAACAGTCTGCGATGACTTATTTGATATCCAAGATGCTACCGTCATCTGTCAGCAACTCGGTTTCCCATCTGCATTGAGAGCTGTATCTGCTGCTGCTGAATTTTCCGAAGGCAGGGGCCCCATTTTCCTGGACAATCTTGAGTGCTCAGGAGATGAAAGTACAATTGCAGATTGTTCCCATGCAGGATGGACTGTAAACAACTGTGGCCACTCAGAAGATGCTGGAGTCATCTGTTCTACATCAACAACTGCTGCCCCAGAGGCTTCCGGGATACCTGGTAAATGAGCTTTTAAAAGTGGATTGTTAATTGTTTTATTATTTGCAGAATCATGAAGAACAGATGTCATTTAAACGAAATGGGACAAGGTTTGTTTTGAATAACTTGACACAAAACTATGTCTTTTTTTCACGGCAGACGGTAGTATTCGTTTAGCAGATGGAGCTTCCTCTTCGGAGGGCAGAGTTGAGATCTTTTACCAGGGTGAATGGGGCACTGTCTGCAATGACATGTGGGGTTTGAGAGATGCTGCTGTTGTCTGCCGTCAACTGGGTTTCCCAGCAGCGCGGACTGCCAGTTCTGTCACTGACTCGCCCTTTCCTGATGAGGGACCAATTTTCCTGGATGATGTCGGCTGCTCAGGAAATGAGAGTTCACTTGCAGAGTGTCCCCATGCGGGATGGGCTGTCGAAAACTGCGAACACTATGAAGATGCTGGAGTAACCTGTTTGACAACAAAGCCAGGTAAAAAGACGTTGACCTCCAGAATCGTTGTTTCCTGTCCTGTGATTAAGGGCCCGTGACCATTCAGCCCCGGTATGAAAAGGGCCCCCCGGTAAGCTCGTCCCCTCCCAAGAAGTCCTCTCGTACCGTCCCAGCTACCGGCCCAGGAGCTGGTCCGGTTGCTAATCAGGAACTCCTCTATCCTGGGGTCTATTGTTTGCAAGTATTGACACATGCAACATATCCCAGAAGAAACCCGCTTGTGTTTTTTCATCTCTCAGCGCGAAACAATAGAACACTTTCGTCGGCGCAGATCAAAACACCTGCCATGCGGTTTTGCGCACAGTGGGACCGTAAATTACCAAGGTGTTATGGAAGGATTATATCTTTAATCCGGTAAGTCTGCTATTGTTCTGCTCTGGACGTTCTCTGAAGGGCAATAAATTGATGCGCCTGACTGACTTCAAAACTTCTGGTCAGACAGGACTATATACCGGACGAGACTGGGCTGAAGACCGGACTGGCTGTGGACAAGATGGGGTACCGGGGGGCCCTTTTCATACCGGGGCTGAATGGTCACGGTCCCTAACTGTACTTGCCATTTCCCCTTCTCTATCCGTTTCAATTGTGGCCTGATAAGGATTCAACTGTTAATGAAATCAGATTAGAATGCCATCCGTGCTACACATTCCTGCTTTGTTTATGTGTACAAACAATACGCGGCACACTATGTTCACCACGTTTCTTCCTTTTGCAGTTGTCACGTTGCGTTTGGCTGATGGTAGCTCTTCGCATGAGGGACGTGTTGACGTTTACTTTCAAGGTGAGTGGGGGACAATCTGTGATGATTCATGGGATATCCAAGATGCGACCGTTGTCTGCCATCAGCTTGGTTTCCCAGCTGCTGTTAGTGTCGTCTCAGCTAGGACTGCCTTCTCCATTGGAAGCGGGCCGATTTTCCTTGATCAACTGAGCTGCTCGGGAAGTGAAACCACACTGGCCGATTGCTTCCATGATGGATGGGGTATTAGTAACTGCCATCACTTTGAAGATGCTGGAGTTGTATGTGCTGCTTCCACCTCAACCGAGAGCCCAGAGGTTTCTCTGATACCAGGTGATGCAAATGTAAAGCCCGGTTCGTACTTCACGCGAAAGGGAAAGCAAAGCGAAGTTCGTGACGTCAACAATACATTCGAAGCGCGTCCACCATTGTTGACGACATGAATTTCGCTTCGCACAAGCTATCGCGTGAAGTATGAAACCCGGCTTAACTTGATGCAAACGACTTTCTTGCCCAACTCAATTAACCCAATGGAGTATTCCATGGAGTATTTACTTTTTGGATCCTGAACTTTAGGGATGCACTTTGTTTCCATTGCAAGGGCTTCTGCGTTAGTGCAGAAACTTTGTTACCGGCATTTTCCTACTCCTTTTCTCAAATATAGAAAAAAAATGTTGCCCGTTTCTGCAAAATTGCATAAATAGTAGAAACATTTCCTAAACTTCTTTGAATTAAACCTTGTTGCCAATAACGAAAAAAATACAGGAGCAAATATTAACAATGTTTAACCCTAACCTTCCCAATCCAACAAAATCCTTTTTTGCAAAACGGAGGATTTTGCAGGATTGAGGCTGCATGGCAAAAATGTGTGGCTGATATTGCAGGATGCAGTGTGTCAAGGTCTTGGGCCGGACCTTGTGTTGTTTATGCTCATGCCCTGCATAAATTTAGGCATAGACTATACTAGAAATCCTGCACACTGCTCAAGGATGTCACTGGCTCTGCCTCAACATAAGACACTGATTACTGGGGCATTTTGGAGGATTGAGGCAGTGGTCACCCCTCCAAGGACCACATTCAAGAAATAAAGGAATTTTTGCAGGATTTTGCATGCAGTTAATTACACGGAGGCTATTGGAGGATTTTGCAGGATCAAGGTAATTGCATCCTAGCAAAAATTCATGAGGAAGTTTAGGTTCAAGAATGGATTTAATGTCCATTTTAAAAAAAAGGGCCATTTTTATACTGATCGAATGTTCTTGAGAGTGTCACAATAACAGTTGATCTTGTTGTCAATTCTGCAGAGGGCAGCGTTCGATTGGTAGGAGGCTCGTCATTCGAGGGACGTGTGGAAGTCTACTTCCTTGGTGAATGGGGGACTGTCTGCGATGACTTGTGGGATCTTCAAGACGCAACTGTCGTCTGCCGTCAGCTGGGCTTTTCAGGCGCAGTGAGGGCTTTTACTGTGGGCTCAGAAATCCCTCCCGGAGAGGGGCTGATACTTTTGGATGACGTGACTTGCAATGGAGACGAGCAAAGCCTAGGAGAGTGCTCTCATTCAGGATTGCAGATTTACAACTGTGCCCACTCTGAAGATGCAGCTGTTGCATGTGCTACATCGACAGAAAGTCCAGATTCATCAACAGTTTCGGGTTAGTGATTTTTTTTTCCACAAAGGGGTATCGGACACAAAATTTATGTCTTGCGCCAAAAACATAATAATTCTGCTTCCGATTACATGGCATTTGAAAATAGGGTAGGTAGGTAGGGAAATACTTTTTTTTTTTGCCAATTTTTTTGTACGATCATATGGAGGCGTCTGCGTGTTGTCAAGGCTAAAAGGTAGAAATTGATGGTTTTGGGTTTCTTTTTCTCATTTTTGCCATAAAAAATTAGGGTAGGGGCTGTCAGAATAGGGTAGGTAGGGAAACTGGAAGCAGAACTATTATTTTTTTGGCCTTATGTTAAAAAGAAATATTTACAATTGTTGTTGATGTAAATTAAAACTCATACAGAATTTATGTCGACAATATGAGAAGAAATGTCCAACGTTTGGAATCAAGAGCTAGGGGTAGGGCTGTGTTTGGTTAAAATATGTAACAAGGTAATAGAAAAAACTTAAAAGGTGTGTAAACTTTAAAAACAAGACTGAGATTGGACAATGGGGTGCAATAATATGTAACAGAATAAAGATAAATAATTTTCTTGTCCATAAAAAATTACTCTGTCAGTTGGCAGTGTCCGATTGGTGGATGGCGACTATCCGTATGAAGGGCGCGTTGAGGTCTACTACCAAGGCCAGTGGGGGACTGTCTGTGATGACTTGTGGGATATCAAAGATGCCACTGTTGTCTGTCGGCAACTGGGCTTCCCAGGTGCTCTCAGAGCCATATCTGCTGCTGATGAATTCCCTGTTGGTGAAGGGCCCATCTTCCTTGATGATGTTGGCTGTTCGGGAGATGAAAATACATTGGCGGGTTGTTCCCATCGAGGTTGGAATGACAACAACTGCGGCCACTCAGAAGATGCTGGAGTCATCTGCTCTACAGGCGGAACAACTGCTATGCCAGGGGTTTCCGGGATGCCAGGTAAGTTTGGAAAAGTCTACATTTTAAGTATTAAACGTTGCCCTTGGTGTTTGGCACAAATGCTCTGAGTATCAGTGTTGTGGTCAAGTCCAACAAGCCCCTGCAAGTCCATCACTAGTCCACAAGAAATCCTTCAGTCTCACGTCAATTAAGTCACTATAGGCCTATGTTCAATTGAACTGTAACAAAAGCATTCCCTTGTCATTGTTCTTCAAGTTACCGATACTTGTGACTGGACCTATGAAAGGACTGGTCTATGGACTTTTAAAATGAATTAGGAATGACTTGTGATGGAAATCGCGACTACAACACTGCAGATAAGGTAAATACATGTACTTCTATTACCACAGAGATTGGAAAACCCTTGTCATCAATCAACAATTCTTGTGTAAAGATCAGATAAAAATTATGGGACATTTGCCCTTTTTCTAGATGGCAGTGTTCGTTTGGTTGATGGGGACTCGTCTTATGAAGGTCGTGTTGAGGTGTACTACCAAGGCCAGTGGGGGACTGTCTGTGATGACTTGTGGGATATCAATGATGCCACTGTTGTCTGTCGGCAACTGGGCTTCCCAGGTGCTCTCAGAGCCATTTCTGCTGCTGATGAATTCTCTGTTGGTGAAGGGCCCATTTTCCTGGATGATGTTGGCTGTTCGGGAGATGAAAGTACATTGGCAGATTGTTCCCATCGAGGTTGGAATGATAACAACTGCGGCCACTCAGAAGATGCTGGAGTCATCTGCTCTACAAGTTCACCAACTGGCGGCCCAGGTATTTCATGGATGCCCGGTATTTTGCAAAAAAAGTAAAAATCAAGCATTGAAAGGTTTCCCTTCCTGAACGTGATAACGCTTTGAGAAGCCTTTTTTACCACAGAAATAGGAAACCCTTGTCAATCAATTTTTGTGTACAGATAAAAAAAAAATGGGACATTTTACCCTTTTTTCAGATGGCAGTGTTCGATTAGTTGGTGGAGACTCATCGCATGAAGGTCGTGTTGAAGTCTACTACCAAGGCCAGTGGGGGACTGTCTGTGATGACTTGTGGGATATCGATGATGCTACTGTTGTCTGTCGGCAACTGGGCTTCCCAGGTGCTGTAAGGGCTCTATCTGCTGCCGATGAATTCTCTGTTGGTGAAGGGCCCATCTTCCTGGATGATGTTGGGTGTTCCGGATCTGAAAGTGCATTGGCAGATTGTTCTCATCGAGGCTGGAATGATAACAACTGCGGCCACTCAGAAGATGCTGGAGTCATCTGCTCTGCGCCAGGTAATCACATAGAAAAACCCTTGGCATTCCTTCGTACAAATTTAAAACATATTTTATAGACATTTACATTCTTTTCAGATGGCAGTGTTCAATTAGTTGGTGGAGACTCGTCAAATGAAGGTCGTGTTGAGGTCTACTACCAAGGCCAGTGGGGGACTGTCTGTGATGACTTGTGGGATATCGATGATGCCACTGTTGTCTGTCGGCAACTGGGCTTCCCAGGTGCTCTCAGAGCCATTTCTGCTGTTGATGAATTCTCTGTTGGTGAAGGGCCCATCTTCCTGGATGATGTTGGGTGTACGGGAGGTGAAAGTACATTGGCAGATTGTTCTCATCGAGGCTGGAATGATAACAACTGCGGCCACTCAGAAGATGCTGGAGTCATCTGCTCTGCGCCAGGTAATCAGAAGTTAATTGTTGTTAAGTGAAATATGCCAAAATTGTATTAAGAATTCTTTTGTGTTGCCTTAATATAATGTACTGCCATTCATCATGTTTTTTTGTGAGGTGTTACATGAAGTTGTGTTTATTTGTGACGATTCATTATAATCATAATGCGCTGAGTATGATTCTTTAACCACAGAGAAACCCTGCACATTCGTAAATGTATAAAAGTTGTCTTTTATATATGTCCTCTTTTCAGATGGCAGTGTTCGTTTGGTTGACGGAGACTCATCGCTTGAAGGTCGTGTTGAGGTCTACTACCAAGGCCAGTGGGGGACTGTCTGTGATGACTTGTGGGATATCGATGATGCTACTGTTGTCTGTCGGCAACTGGGCTTCCCAGGTGCTGTAAGGGCTCTATCTGCTGCCGATGAATTCTCTGTTGGTGAAGGGCCCATCTTCCTGGATGATGTTGGCTGTTCCGGATCTGAAAGTACATTGGCTGATTGTTCCCATCGAGGATGGAATGACAACAACTGCGGCCACTCAGAAGATGCTGGAGTCATCTGCTCTACAAGCGGAACAACTGCTTTGCCAGGGGTTTCAGGGATACCAGGTAATAACATGTTCATTGTTGTAATAGAATTATTCCATCAATATTTTTTTTAATAAGAATAATTCTTTTTATGTTGCCTAAATGTACATTCATCATGTTTTCGTGAGGTATTTTGTACATGGTGGTGTTCGGTGAGTTGATGGAGACTCATCATTATACTCGTGATGTCCTTGTAGTAATTCTATCACCACATAGAAAAACCCTTGGCATTCCTTCGTACAGATTTAAAACATTTTTTATTGACATTTACATTCTTTTCAGATGGCAGTGTACAATTAGTTGGTGGAGACTCGTCAAATGAAGGTCGTGTTGAGGTCTACTACCAAGGCCAGTGGGGTACTGTCTGTGATGACTTGTGGGATATCCGAGATGCCATTGTCGTCTGTCGGCAACTGGGCTTCCCAGGTGCTCTCAGAGCCATTTCTGCTGCTGATAAATTCCCTGTTGGTGAAGGGCCCATCTTCCCTTATGATGTTGGCTGTTCGGGAGTTGAAAGTACATGGGCAGATTGTTTCTTTCGAGGTTGGAATGATACCAACTGCGGCCACTCAGAAGATGCTGGAGTCATCTGCTCTACAAGTTCACCAACTGGCGGCCCAGGTATTTCATGGATGCCCGGTATTTTGCAAAAAAGTAAAGTTTAAGCAGTGAAAGGTTTCCCTTCCTGAACGTGATAATGCTCTGAGTAGTCTTTTGTTACCACAGAAATAGGAAACCTTGTCAATATCAATTTATGAGTTAAGATAGAAAAAAATGGGACATTTTACCCTTTTTTCAGATGGCAGTGTTCGATTAGTTGGTGGAGACTCGTCAAATGAAGGTCGTGTTGAGGTCTACTACCAAGGCCAGTGGGGTACTGTCTGTGATGACTTGTGGGATATCGATGATGCTACTGTTGTCTGTCGGCAACTGGGCTTCCCAGGTGCTGTAAGGGCTCTATCTGCTGCCGATGAATTCTCTGTTGGTGAAGGGCCCATCTTCCTGGATGACGTTGGGTGTTCGGGAGGTGAAAGTGCATTGGCAGATTGTTCTCATCGAGGCTGGAATGATAACAACTGCGGCCACTCAGAAGATGCTGGAGTCATCTGCTCTACGCCAGGTAATCAGAAGTTAATTGTTGTTAAGTGACATATGCCAAAATTTTATTAAGAATTCTTTTGTGTTGCCTTAATATAATGTACTGCCATTCATCATGTTTTTTGTGAGGTATTTTGAATATGGTAGTGTTACATGAAGTTGTGTTTATTTGTGACGATTCATTATAATCATAATGCGCTGAGTATGATTCTTTAACCACAGAGAAACCCTGCACATTCGTAAATGTATAAAAGTTGTCTGTTATATATATGTCCTCTTTTCAGATGGCAGTGTTCGTTTGGTTGACGGAGACTCATCGCTTGAAGGTCGTGTTGAGGTCTACTACCAAGGCCAGTGGGGGACTGTCTGTGATGACTTGTGGGATATCGATGATGCCACTGTTGTCTGTCGGCAACTGGGCTTCCCAGGTGCTGTAAGGGCTCTATCTGCTGCCGATGAATTCTCTGTTGGTAGAGGACCCATCTTCCTGGATGATGTTGGGTGTTCCGGATCTGAAAGTACATTGGCTGATTGTTCCCATCGAGGATGGAATGACAACAACTGCGGCCACTCAGAAGATGCTGGAGTCATCTGCTCTACAAGCGGAACAACTGCTTTGCCAGGGGTTTCAGGGATACCAGGTAATAACATGTTCATTGTTGTAATAGAATTATGCCATCAATATTTTTTTATTAAGAATATTTCTTTCTGTGTTGCCTGAATGTACATTCATCATGTTTTCGTGAGGTATTTTGTACATGGTGGTGTTCGGTGAGTTGATGGAGACTCATCATTATACTCGTGATGTCCTTGTAGTAATTCTATTACCACATAGAAAAACCCTTGGCATTCCTACGTACAGATTTAAAACATTTTTTATTGACATTTACATTCTTTTCAGATGGCAGTGTACAATTAGTTGGTGGAGACTCGTCAAATGAAGGTCGTGTTGAGGTCTACTACCAAGGCCAGTGGGGTACTGTCTGTGATGACTTGTGGGATATCCGAGATGCCATTGTCGTCTGTCGGCAACTGGGCTTCCCAGGTGCTCTCAGAGCCATTTCTGCTGCTGATAAATTCCCTGTTGGTGAAGGGCCCATCTTCCCTTATGATGTTGGCTGTTCGGGAGTTGAAAGTACATGGGCAGATTGTTTCTTTCGAGGTTGGAATGATACCAACTGCGGCCACTCAGAAGATGCTGGAGTCATCTGCTCTACAAGTTCACCAACTGGCGGCCCAGGTATTTCATGGATGCCCGGTATTTTGCAAAAAAGTAAAGTTTAAGCAGTGAAAGGTTTCCCTTCCTGAACGTGATAATGCTCTGAGTAGTCTTTTGTTACCACAGAAATAGGAAACCTTGTCAATATCAATTTATGAGTTAAGATAGAAAAAAATGGGACATTTTACCCTTTTTTCAGATGGCAGTGTTCGATTAGTTGGTGGAGACTCGTCACATGAAGGTCGTGTTGAAGTCTACTACCAAGGCCAGTGGGGTACTGTCTGTGATGACTTGTGGGATATCGATGATGCCACTGTTGTCTGTCGGCAACTGGGCTTCCCAGGTGCTCTCAGAGCCATTTCTGCTGCTGATGAATTCCCTGTTGGTGAAGGGCCCATTTTCCTGGATGATGTTGGCTGTTCGGGAGATGAAAGTACATTGACAGATTGTTCCCATCGAGGTTGGAATGATAACAACTGCGGCCACTCAGAAGATGCTGGAGTCATCTGCTCTACAAGTTCACCAACTGGCGGCCCAGGTATTTCATGGATGCCCGGTATTTTGCAAAAAAAGTAAAAATCAAGCATTGAAAGGTTTCCCTTTCTGAACGTGATAACGCTTTGAGAAGCCTTTTTTACCACAGAAATAGGAAACCCTTGTCAATCAATTTTTGTGTAAAGATTAAAAAAATGGGACATTTTACCCTTTTTTCAGATGGCAGTGTTCGATTAGTTGGTGGATTTTCGTCACATGAAGGTCGTGTTGAAGTCTACTACCAAGGCCAGTGGGGTACTGTCTGTGATGACTATTGGGGTTTCCCAGATGCTACTGTCGTCTGTCGGCAACTGGGCTTCCCAGGTGCTGTAAGGGCTCTATCTGCTGCCGATGAATTCTCTGTTGGTGAAGGGCCCATCTTCCTGGATGATGTTGGGTGTTCCGGATCTGAAAGTACATTGGCTGATTGTTTCCATCGAGGATGGAATGACAACAACTGCGGTCACTCAGAAGATGCTGGAGTCATCTGCTCTATAAGCGGAACAACTGCTTTGCCAGGGGTTTCAGGGATACCAGGTAATAACATGTTCATTGTTGTAATAGAATTATTCCATCAATATTTTTTTTAATAAGAATAATTCTTTTTATGTTGCCTGAATGTACATTCATCATGTTTTCGTGAGGTATTTTGTACATGGTGGTGTTCGGTGAGTTGATGGAGACTCATCATTATACTCGTGATGTCCTTGTAGTAATTCTGTTACCACATAGAAAAACCCTTGGCATTCCTTCGTACAGATTTAAAACATATTTTATAGACATTTACATTCTTTTCAGATGGCAGTGTTCAATTAGTTGGTGGAGACTCATTGCATGAAGGTCGTGTTGAGGTCTACTACCAAGGCCAGTGGGGGACTGTCTGTGATGACTTGTGGGATATCGATGATGCCACTGTTGTCTGTCGGCAACTGGGCTTCCCAGGTGCTCTCAGAGCCATTTCTGCTGTTGATGAATTCCCTGTTGGTGAAGGGCCCATCTTCCTGGATGATGTTGGCTGTTCCGGAGATGAAAGTACATTGGCAGGTTGTTCCCATCGAGGTTGGAATGATAACAACTGCGGCCACTCAGAAGATGCTGGAGTCATCTGCTCTACAGGCGGAACAACTGCTATGCCAGGGGTTTCGGGGATGCCAGGTAATTTTGGAAAAGTCTACATTTTAAGTATTAAACGTTGCCCTTGGTGTTGGCACAATGCTCTGAGTATCAGTGTTGTGGTCGAGTCCAACAAGCCCCTGCAAGTCCATCACAAGTCCACAAGAAATCCTTCAGTCTCACGTCAATTAAGTCACTATAGGCCTATGTTCAATTGAACTGTAACACAAGCATTCCCTTGTCATTGTTCTTCAAGTTACTTGTGACTAGACCTTTGAAAGGACTGGTCTGTGGACTTGTAAAAGGAATTAGGAATGACTTGTGATGGAAATCGCAACTACAACACTGCAGATCGAGTAAATACATGTACATGTACCTCTATTACCACAGAGATTGGAAAACCCTTGTCATCAATCTACAATTCTTGTGTAAAGATCAGATAAAAATTATGGGACATTTGCCCTTTTTCTAGATGGCAGTGTTCGTTTGGTTGATGGGGACTCGTCTTATGAAGGTCGTGTTGAGGTGTACTACCAAGGCCAGTGGGGTACTGTCTGCGATGACTTGTGGGATATCAATGATGCCACTGTTGTCTGTCGTCAACTGGGCTTCCCAGGTGCTCTCAGAGCCATTTCTGCTGCTGATGAATTCCCTGTTGGTGAAGGGCCCATTTTCCTGGATGATGTTGGCTGTTCGGGAGATGAAAGTACATTGGCAGATTGTTCCCATCGAGGTTGGAATGATAACAACTGCGGCCACTCAGAAGATGCTGGAGTCATTTGCTCTACAAGTTCACCAACTGGCGGCCCAGGTATTTCATGGATGCCCGGTATTTTGCAAAAAAGTAAAGTTTAAGCATTGAAAGGTTTTGCTTCCTGAACGTGATAACGCTTTGAGTAGTCTTTTGTTACCACAGAAATAGGAAACCCTTGTCAATCAATTTTTGTGTACAGATAAAAAAAAAATGGGACATTTTACCCTTTTTTCAGATGGCAGTGTTCGATTAGTTGGTGGAGACTCGTCAAATGAAGGTCGTGTTGAGGTCTACTACCAAGGCCAGTGGGGTACTGTCTGTGATGACTTGTGGGATATCAATGATGCTACTGTTGTCTGTCGGCAACTGGGCTTCCCAGGTGCTCTCAGAGCCATTTCTGCTGTTGATGAATTCCCTGTTGGTGAAGGGCCCATCTTCCTGGATGACGTTGGGTGTTCGGGAGGTGAAAGTACATTGGCAGATTGTTCTCATCGAGGCTGGAATGAAAACAACTGCGGCCACTCAGAAGATGCTGGAGTCATCTGCTCTACGCCAGGTAATCAGAAGTTAATTGTTGTTAAGTGACATATGCCAACATTTTATTAAGAATTCTTTTGTGTTGCCTTAATATAATGTACTGCCATTCATCATGTTTTTTGTGAGGTGTTTTGAATATGGTAGAGTTACATGAAGTTGTGTTTATTTGTGACGATTCATTATAATCATAATGCGCTGAGTATGATTCTTTAACCACAGAGAAACCCTGCACATTCGTAAATGTATAAAAGTTGTCTTTTATATATGTCCTCTTTTCAGATGGCAGTGTTCGTTTGGTTGACGGAGACTCATCGCTTGAAGGTCGTGTTGAGGTCTACTACCAAGGCCAGTGGGGGACTGTCTGTGATGACTTGTGGGATATCGATGATGCCACTGTTGTCTGTCGGCAACTGGGCTTCCCAGGTGCTCTCAGAGCCATTTCTGCTGCTGATGAATTCCCTGTTGGTGAAGGGCCCATCTTCCTGGATGATGTTGGGTGTTCTGGAGATGAAAGTACGTTGGCTGAGTGTTCTCATCGAGGTTGGAATGACAACAACTGCGGCCACTCAGAAGATGCTGGAGTTATCTGTTCTACAGAGATGCAAGGTAATTTGAGTTTGTTTCTGCATTCAATCAATAGGGGACGTTGCACAATAGAGGACAATAGGGTCCCCAATTTGGATTCGTGTACAAAACATATTGGAGGGTCATCCTAAAAAGTTAAAGTAAAAACAAAAGAGGGACAAAAGGGGATCCACAATTGCAGGCGACCACACACTTCTGTGTGGGTGTTCCTGTTTCGTATTACGCTCGAGGACAGACACACAAAGGGAGAACAAAAGATCCTTTCAGCCCTCGAACGACGGAGCTTTTGTTTGAAACTGTCCTCAATCATACATTTACGTGCTTAGTCTATGGGAAAGTGTTAAAGTACAGGGACAAAGGGAAACAATAGGTCGTCTTCAGGCATATAGTAAAACACGACTGGGTGTGCGTGTGTGTGTGTTTGTTAAGGTGTTAATCTCACCGTGGTATTGGATCATTTGCTTGCGCAAAAGTTTTTGAACACGTTTGCAAGTGAGGAACAGTGTGGTGCCTGCCTGTGCATTAGTGTCTAATTTTGTATGCAGTGTCGGGGGGTGAAAACACAATCAATTCGCATGCCGTGAGTTACAAAAACACACTTGTTTTCGAAGTTAAAAATTTTACAATCTTATCCCGCCAATGTGCAGAATCACATTTCGTATGAGCAAATTGGAAAGGAAAGGAGTATTTTGAGAAGGCACGGACGTTTTAATTACAAAGATCGTGAAAACACGTACTGCACGTTGTAGTACATGACATAAATCCATTACTAGCCAGTTGCGGTATCGAATCATAGATACAGGAAGAAAGTTATCTATCCAGGGATTGCTATGTGAAACGAGGTTGGAAATAAAGTAAGCACTGGGGACAAGATTGCATGTGAAGCATCATCGAGTAAATCAAGGACGACCTCAATTAGAAATGTGTACAAAACCAATGGGAGCTATTGCAAAAAAAGTTCGAGTATAAACAAACGATCAATAATGAGGAACACTAGAAAATCCTTGATAATTCACATCATAAACAAACCATGAACATGCATGGTTCGTTATGGGGCAGTAGTAAACAGAATAGAACAACACAGACCCCAGAAATCGACCTTCCCTATAATGAGGGAATTGCCTTGGCGTTTGAGATTTCAAGGGAAACAAAGGGGAAACATAAGAGGCTGTGTGTGAGGACACACCTTGTAACATCATCGAAGAATTGAGGACACAGGAGCCAAATCGAGGAAGACTTCGATTAGGACAAAGGACATCGGGTTAAGGCACAAACAATACATCCACGGTTGAACGAAATCCACGATTTAAATTCGTTTACAAAACCAATCAGAGCTGTTGGTAAACAGGTAAAGTACAAACAAAGGAATGAGGATTAGGGACAATAGGGGTCCGTCATTGCCGGTGTTTACAAAGATGGGTGTGTGTGCAGCTTGAATGATTTCAAGGATAGAACAAAAAAGTTAAGGGTACGAATGTTTAAATAATTTGAACGGTTTGTTATTATTTGAGTGTGCGAATACTCCTGTAGCATTATATTTTTCATTTTGTTCGCAGATGGCAGTGTTCGATTAGTTGATGGAAGCTCATCTTCTGAGGGACGTGTTGAGGTCTACTATCAGGGTAGCTGGGGAACTGTCTGTGATGACCTGTTCGATATCAATGATGCTACCGTCATCTGCCGTCAACTTGGTTTCCCATCTGCATTGAGAGCTGTGTCTGCTGCTGATGAATTTTCCATTGGCAGTGGATCAATTCTCCTGGACAATCTTGGGTGCTCAGGAGATGAAAGTACACTTGCAGATTGTTCCCATGCAGGATGGACTGTAAATAACTGTGGCCACTCAGAAGATGCCGGAGTCGTCTGTACTACATCAGCAACTGCTGCCCCAGAGGTTTCAGGGATAACAGGTAAATAGGCTTTGCGCCAGTATCTTTAATTTGATTGTTTAAAGAAATAGAAAAAACCAATTGAAAAATTGTGGTTTGTCTCATCTGTGAAAATGTTGCTTTTGTTATTTTGCTTGCAGATGGCAGTGTTCGATTAGTTGATGGAAGCTCATCTTCCGAGGGACGTGTTGAGGTCTACTATCAGGGTAGCTGGGGAACTGTCTGCGATGACCTATTCGATATCCAAGATGCTACCGTCATCTGTCAACAACTTGGTTTCCCATCTGCATTGAGAGCTGTATCTGCTGCCACTGAATTTTCCGAAGGCAGTGGAGCAATTCTCCTGGACAATCTTGAGTGCTCAGGAGATGAAAGTACACTTGCAGATTGTTCCCATGCAGGATGGACTGTAAACAACTGTGGCCACTCAGAAGATGCTGGAGTCATCTGTTCACAACCTGTTGTGTATGAAGGTAATTTCTTTTTTGTCGTAATTCTCAGAAGGAATATTTGAAAATGAATAACAGGCTTAATTAGTCAACTGCTGCGCCAGTATCAGGTAAATAGGCTTTGCGCCAGTATCTTTAATTTGATTGTTTAAAGAAATAGAAAAATGCAATTGAAAAATTGTGGTTTGTCTCATCTGTGAAAATGTTGCTTTTGTTATTTTGTGTGTAGATGGCAGTGTTCGATTAGTCGATGGAAGCTCATTGTCTGAGGGACGTGTTGAGGTCTACTATCAGGGTAACTGGGGAACTGTCTGTGATGATCTGTTTGATATCCATGATGCTACTGTCATCTGTCATCAACTCGGTTTCCCATCTGCAGTGAGAGCTGTATCTGCTGCTGATGAATTTTCCATTGGCAGTGGATCAATTCTCCTGGACAATCTTGGGTGCTCAGGAGATGAAAGTACACTTGCAGATTGTTCCCATGCAGGATGGACTGTAAATAACTGTGGCCACTCAGAAGATGCTGGAGTCATCTGTGCTACATCAGCAACTGCTGCGCCAGAAGTTTCAGGGATAACGGGTAAATAGGCTTTGCGCCAGTATCTTTAATTTGATTGTTTAAAGAAATAGAAAAATTGTGGTTTGTCTCATCTGTGAAAATGTTGCTTTTGTTATTTTGCTTGCAGATGGCAGTGTTCGATTAGTTGGTGGAAGCTCATCTTCTGAGGGGCGTGTTGAGGTCTACTATCAGGGTAGCTGGGGAACTGTCTGCGATGACTTATTTGATATCCAAGATGCTACCGTCATCTGTCAACAACTCGGTTTCCCATCTGCATTGAGAGCTGTATCTGCTGCCACTGAATTTTCCGAAGGCAGCGGCCCCATTTTCCTGGACAATCTTGAGTGCTCAGGATATGAAAGTACACTTGCAGCTTGTTCCCATGCAGGATGGACTGTAAACAACTGTGGCCACTCAGAAGATGCTGGAGTCATCTGTTTACAACCTGTTGTGTATGAAGGTAATTTGTTTTGGTCGTCAAGTAATTCTCAGAAGGAATATCTGAAAATGAATAACAGGCTTAATTAGTCTTTCATTGTACCAATTATTGGATGTGCTGCTGGGACTGGACTTGGGACTGGATGAATTGTGAAGTGACTTGTGAATTGACATTGGAGGATCATGAACTTACAACTTCTGTTCAGCATTGATTTGAGGCTTGTTTAGAATTGGTCTACACCTTTAACTTAGAAGTTGTTGCTCAGTCATAAGTGTGTTCATTTTTCCCAGGATATTTTGTGTATTTCTTATGTCTTGTATATTATTTTGGTTTGTAGCTCTTTCTATCATTGGGAGGCCAACTGCCCAAAGCACCAGTCATGATCTCTATCCAGGAGAAAATGCTGTTGATGGCGATATCATCACATTTTCACACACTGGTAAGGTGCTTTCTGAGTTTGCTTCAGATTATTAATATTGTATACCAAGAATTCACGTTTGAAAGAAAGAGGTTTGAGTTGGTATTTTTATCCATGGCATGTTTCATTATTTGATGTAGCCTCAAACTGTTCCTTAGAAATAAACTAGCTGCCAAAAATGCTGGGGAAATAAAAGCCAGCTGTTTGCTTAGCATTGTGTCCCCGAGCAAGGCATTTTACCTCAACTTGCCTCTACCCATAGGTACGATTTGGTTTTGGCATTGGCTTTGGGAGTACTTGACTACAATTGGCTGGCTCAACAGATCTGTTAATTCTTCTTCTGAAAAGCAGTCTGTGTTTTCCTATTTTGCAGAGCCGAACGATCAACATCCGTGGTGGCGAGTGGACTTGGGCAGTGAACACTGCTTGGGCAGAATCACAGTCACACTCAGACAAGGCTGCTGTGGTAAGGGACCCCCAGCAGTCGTCAACGGAAACGTACACATTTGAAATGATTTATGACATTCTAAAGAAAAAAACCCGGAGCAATCCACTGTTTCGCTACTGACTTTAAAGATGATCTATACGTCTTGGGAATGATTTGTTTTCAAACTTTGTTTATTATTATTTTTGAATATTTTTATCATATACGATCTAAAGACAGTGCAATCCCACTTATGTTTGTAATTAGTTCTGATGCCAATTTATCGCGATATGCAAGGCTCCTGAATATTATGAAGACTTTCTTACATTCTTGGAAGTTCATTTTTCTTTCTTTGAATTTGTCTCGCTGTCAAGGGGAATACCGTTTCACTGCTGCCGTGGCACGGGCCGGTCTGGGCGTATTCTATACCGAAAACCAACCGTGCGGGCAACCGGCCACGAGGGCGCAGTCTTACGACGGGGCCGTGAACATATTCACGTGTGATACGCCACGGATGGCCAGATATGTTAGTCTGGACATCGACCCATCCAGCCCTGGTGTAACTAACGCACTCCTGCAGATGGGTGAGGTGACAGTGGAAGAGGTTACATCTGGAGAGTGTTCTCTGGTGCCTGGTAAGACTATGTTCTTAGTCATCTGTTTTGTTTCTCCTTTCCTCTTGATTAACTGAAACAGCATTCACTCCTAGCTCTGCAGTGTTCTCAGGTTGATGGTAAGAGGATATAACTCACAACAACTCCAGGGGTCGATTTCACAAAAGTTGTCTTATCTTGCGACTCCTCTTAAGACTTAAGATGAGTTCCTTCTCTAAGATCAATCTCAAGATGCGTCCTTAGACTGATTATACTTAAGAAATCTTAAGCAAGACGTATCAAAACTACCAATTTGATGCTGTTTCATGTTTTTTTTCCCCGCTTGACGAAACTTTCCTTGAAAAGAATGGCGTAAAACCGACTTCCCACGCGTGAGCGTATGGAACACCAACATTCGCCAGAAAAAATTATACTGTACTCAATAGATTTCACATATTTCAAGGTAGTTCCACACCAGAAAATAAAAGCTTATGATAATTTAAATCATCTGAATAATCTGTTAAAATTGTGTAGTTGCTTTTGTGTGCACTTGCTCTTGTATCACTGTTTTTTTTCCCCTAGATGGCAGTGTTCGATTGGTTGATGGAAGCTCATCTTCTGAGGGACGTGTTGAGGTCTACTATCAGGGTAGGTGGGGAACAGTCTGTGATGACCTATTCGATATCAATGATGCTACCGTCGTCTGTCATCAACTCGGTTTCCCATCTGCATTGAGAACTGTATCTGCTGCCGACGAATTTTCCTTTGGCAGTGGAGCAATTCTCCTGGACAATCTTGAGTGCTCAGGAGATGAAAGTACACTTGCAGATTGTTCCCATGGAGGATGGACTGAACATAACTGTGGCCACTCAGAAGATGTTGGAGTCGTCTGTGCACCACTTATCTTGACAACAGAAGTCCCTGTTGTGTATGAAGGTATATGTGGATTTTTTGTAGTTCTCTGAAGGAATGTCTTATTATAACAGACTTACTTAATTAGTCTCTTATTGTAACAATTGTTGGATGTTCTGCTATTTTTTGCAGGTGACTGGTAGATTTGAAATAAGTGGGGCGCTGTGGTCCAATGGTTACGGTGTTGCCGTGGTACATGGGTTCGAATCCTGACCGTGGGAACATGGTGCTTGTGCTCTTGAGCAAGGCACTTTACCATTATTGCTTCGTCCTTCGGATGGGACGTTAAGCCGTAGGTCCCGTGTGTTGTGTAATGCACGTTAAAGAACCCAGTAACACTTGTCGCTAAGAGAAGGGGTTTGCCCCGGTGTTTCTGGCAGTGGCAGCAATTATGCGCCGCAGCACCTTGTAAACCCTTATAAGGTGCAACATAATGAGTCTCATACTGTTCATATACTTCATTTACCTGTCTTTGGTTGCATTCTCCCCCAGCGCTTTGTATCCTCTGGCAAAAAGCGCTATATAAATAACAGTTATTATTATTATTATTATTATTAAATAGTGGAACTCCCTTGTGTAATAATTTTGAGTCTTTCACAAATTTAAACCGTCACAAGTCCATCAGTCACAAGTAAATTATAAATCAGCTCACAAGTCTGGTTAAAAGTAACAGGGGCGGAACATTAAAAGCCTTCATCTTTGCCACAGTTTATTTGAATAGCGTGTGACTTGGGACTTGTGAATTGACTTTTGAGGATCATGAAGTTGCAACTACTGTGCTACATTGATTTGAGGCTTGTTTATTGCTGCGTATATATTGAATGAATGAATTAATCCTGTTTGTCAATTGTTAGTGTTGTTTTGATGGTCAAGCTGTCATGGTTTTATGTTGATCTTAGCTGCTTTTTTCTTGTGTGTGAGCAAACTAGCAAAAAACAGTTAGAGTTTGACATCCTGAATTATTTTTGTGGTCAAATCCCCCATTCTAGTCTTCAGTATATACCTCTGATCCACCCCAGTAATTCAGATGTTCTTTCTCAAGATTTCCTCGGTCTTTCAGTGTGTTAAATCTTTTCCCTGACTTTTCATGTATTGCTTATGGCATTGTCTTATTTTGGTTTGTAGCTCTTTCTATCATTGGGAGGCCAACTGCCCAAAGCACCAGTCATGATCGCTACCCAGGAGAGTTTGCTGTTGACGGTGATATCAACACATTTTCCCACACAGGTAAGGTGTTTTTCTGAGTCTCATTGACATAATACTAATTATAGTTTGGCAAGAATTCAAGTTTGAAAGGACGAGGTTTGAATTAGTGTTTTTATCCATTAATGGATCGTATGTTTCATAATTTCATGTAGCCTCAAAATGTTGCTTAGAAACAAGCTAGCTGCTGAATATGCAGGGAAATGGAAGCTAGAAGTCTGCTTAGCATTGTGTCCCTGAGCAAGGCATTTTACCTCAACTCGCCTCCTCCCTTAGGTTGGATTTGGTTTTGGTTTTGCTTTGGGAGTAACTACAGTTGGATGGCTCAACAAATCTGTTAATTCCTCTTCTGAAAAGCATTTGGCCGTTTTCCCATTTTGCAGAGCCGAACGATCAACATCCGTGGTGGCGAGTGGACTTGGGCAGTGAACACTGCTTGGGCAGAATCACAGTCACACTCAGACAAGGCTGCTGTGGTAAGGGACACGAACATCATGACTTTATTTTAATGGAGTGATAAATTATCTTATACCATTGTAAAATATTCTATTTGACCCCCAGCAGTCGTCAACGGAAACGTACACATTTGAAATGTCTCATGATATTCTGAAAAACAATCGGAGCAATCCACTTTTTCGCTACTGACTTTAAAGATCATCTATACGTCTTGGGAATGATTTGTTTTCATAATATGATAAAAATATATCATATATTATATGATCTTAAGACAGTGAAATCCCACTTTATGTTTGTTATTAGTTCTGATGCCAATTTATTGCAATATGCAAGGCTCCTGAATATTATGAAGACTTTCTTACATTCTTGGAAGTTCATTTCTCTTTCTTTCCATTTGTCTCGCTGTCAAGGGCAATACCGTTTCACTGCTGCCGTGGCACGGGCCGGTCTGGGCTTATCCTATGCTGGGAACCAACCGTGCGGGCAACCGGCCACAAGGGCGCAGTCTTACGACGGGGCCGTGAACGTATTCACGTGTGATACGCCACGGATGGCCAGATATGTGAGTCTGGACATCGACCCATCCAGCCCTGGTGTAACTAGAGCACTCCTGCAGATGGGTGAGGTGACAGTGGAAGAGGTTACATCTGGAGAGTGTTCTCAGGTTGATGGTAAGAGGATATAACTCACAACAACTCCAGGGGTCGATTTCACAAAAGTAGTCTTATCTTGCGACTCCTCTTAAGACTTAAGATGAGTTCCTGCTCTAAGATCGCTCTCAAGACACGTACTCAGACTGATTTTACTTAAGAAATCTTTAGCAAGACGTATCAAAACTACCAATTTGATTGCTGTTTCATGTTTGTTTTTCCCGCTTGACGAAACATTCCTTGAAAAGAATGGTGTAAAACCGACTTCCCACGCGTGTGCGTATGGAACACCAACATTCGCCAGAAAAAAATTACTGTACTCAATAGATTTCGCATATTTCAAGGTAGTTCCACACCAGAAAATAAAAGCTTATGATAATTTAAATCATCTGAATAATCTGTAAAAATTGTGTAGTTGCTTTTGTGTGCACTCAGTGGCGTAGCCAGGAATTTTTCAGTGGGGGGGGGGGGGGGCTGGGGGGGCTGGAACATTTCATGGGGGGGGGAGGCGTAAAGCAGGGGCGTCAATTGCTTCTCAAAAGTGGGGGGGGGGGGGACATACCTTGAGCATAACTGATGCAAGCGCGAAGCCCTTACGGCGTGGGGTCGGGGCCCGCTTAAGGGCCCCGAAAAAATTAGATTCTAGATGTTCTGTGGTGTGATTTGAAGTAATTTCTTACGACTTTCCTCCATGCTTTAACTAATATTTTCTTGGCAAAAGATAATTTTGTGAACATTATTTTCGAGGTTGGAGTCATTGAATCAGCTACCAGAATTCTGAGCTATAGGCGTGGGGTTCGGGGCCCGCTTAAGGGCCCTGACAATTTTTGGATTCTAAATGCTCTGTGGTGCCATCTGAGGCAATTGCTGACCACTTTAACCAATATTTTCTAAGCAAAAGATACATTGTAGTACATAATAGGGCCCATGGCATCATGTAGATCAATGATAATTTTTTTAGAAACTCAAAATCTCAGTGGGGGGGGGGGGCGACTGGGGGGCGACAAGGTTTCATGGGGGGGCGGTCGCCCCCCACGCCCCCCCGGTGGCTATGCCACTGTGTGCACTTGCTCTTGTATCACTGTTTTTTTTCCCCTAGATGGCAGTGTTCGATTAGTTGATGGAAGCTCCTCTTCTGAGGGACGTGTTGAGGTCTACTATCAGGGTAGCTGGGGAACTGTCTGTGATGACCTATTCGATATCAATGATGCTACCGTCGTCTGTCATCAACTCGGTTTCCCATCTGCACTGAGAGCTGTATCTGCTGCCACTGAATTTTCCATTGGCAGTGGAGTGATTCTCCTGGACAATCTGGAGTGCTCAGGAGATGAAAGTACACTTGCAGATTGTTCCCATGGAGGATGGACTGAACATAACTGTGGCCACTCAGAAGATGCTGGAGTCGTCTGTGCACCACTTATCTTGACAACGGAAGTCCCTGTTGTGTATGAAGGTATATGTGGATTTTGTGTAGTTCTCTGAAGGAATGTCTTATTATAACAGACTTACTTAATTAGTCTCTTATTGTAACAATTGTTGGATGTTCTGCTATTTGTTGCAGGTGACTGGTAGATTTGAAACAGTGGAACTCCTTTGAGTGATATCGTTGAGTCTTTCCTAGCCAAGGTGGACTCCCTTTCCTCCCTACGTAACGGAGGGAGTCCAGGGTATAAAGTGCTCAAAACCGGGCGAAAACATTTATGACCAATATTTTCAATAGTTGTACCTTGCTGGAGAAGCCAATTTTTATGTCGTAGTATTCTATGTGTCCTTATCTATTGGGCCGCTGGGTTCAGAAATTCCATATGCGATGCTGACCGACCTTAATCTGGAAAATAAACTCGAAAGCAACGTTAAACTTGTACGTGTTTGTAGACTCTTTTTATCAGTTTCTCACCGCCGAGTCTATTCTAGTCGTACATGATGTACGTCTGTGCAGCGTGTAGTGTGGTTCCCTAGACCAGACAATTATTCTCGACGCTCATATCACGTCTGGTCTGGGGGCCAGACTATGCAGCATGAATATGCAGTGCGCACGCGCAATTTGCTTAGTAACCACCCTCATACGCACGCGCACTTACTTGAAGGCGCGGTCGCTAATCCAATGACCGAGCGTGTTTTCGCGCCAGTTACCAGAAACACGTTTCGGCTTTGGTCATTGGTTGAGCGTTTTCGTGACGTCGGTTGGCTGGAGTGACGTCACGGTTCCAACCAAAACTAAACAAATGAGGGCGCTAGCGTGCGTGCGCGCTTTCGTACGCACGTACATTGTACATGACGTACGACTCTGGGAATAAACTGCTGAAAAGAGACTACAAACACGTACAAGTTTAACGCTGCTTTAGAGTTTATTTTCCTGATTAATGTCAGTCAGCATCACATATGGAATTCCTGAATCCTGCGGCCCAATAGGTAAGGACACATAGAAAATGTAGGCTTGAAATAAGCTTATGTAACGAGGTAAAACGTAACAAAAATCTGGTCCAAATTTTGGGTGGTCTTATGTAGAGAATTCTCATCCTGGACGTTAGTCGTAATGCAATGAAGACTTCGTCCAACCTGGGCTAAGTCTTTCCCAAATTTAAACCGTCACTAGTCCATCAGTCACAAGTAAATTATAAATCAGCTCACAAGTCTGGTTAAAAGTAACAGGGGCGGAACATTAAAAGCCTTCATCTTTGTCACAGTTAATTTGAATAGCTTGTGACCTGGGACGGGATGATTTGTGAATATGACTTTTGAGGATCATGAAGTTGCAACTACTGTGCTACATTGATTTGAGGCTTGTTTATTGCTGCGTATATATTGAATGAATGAATTAATCCTGTTTGTCAATTGTTAGTGTTGTTTTGATGGTCAAGCTGTCATGGTTTTATGTTGATCTTAGCTGCCTTTTTTCTTGTGTGTTAGCAAACTAGCAAAAAAACAGTTAGAGTTTGACATCCTGAATTATTTTTGTGGTCAAATCCCCCATTCTAGTCTTCAGTATATACATCTGATCCACCCCGATAATTCAGATGTTCTTTCTCAAGATTTCCTCGGTCTTTCAGTGTGTTAAATCTTTTCCCTGACTTTTCGAGTATTTCTTAAGGCATTTGTATTATTTTGGTTTGTAGCTCTTTCAATCATTGGGAGGCCAACTGCCCAAAGCACCAGTCACGATCGCTATCCAGGAGAGTTTGCTGTTGACGGCGATATCAACACATTTTCCCACACTGGTAAGGTGTTTTTCTGAGTCTCATTGACATAATACTAATTATAGTTTGGCAAGAATTCAAGTTTGAAAGGACGAGGTTTGAATTAGTGTTTTTATCCATTAATGGATGGTATGTTTCATAATTTGATGTAGCCTCAAAATGTTGCTTAGAAACCTGAGCAAGGCATTTTACCTCAACTTGCCTCCTCCCATAGGTAGGATTTGGTTTTGGCATTTGCTTTGGGAGTAACTACAATTGGCTGGCTCAGTAAATCTGTTAATTGCTCTTCTGAAAAGCGTTTGGCCGTTTTCCCATTTTGCAGAGCCGAACGATCAACATCCGTGGTGGCGAGTGGACTTGGGCAGTGAACACTGCTTGGGCAGAATCACAGTCACACTCAGACAAGGCTGCTGTGGTAAGGGACACGAACATCATGACTTTATTTTAATGGAGTGATAAATTACCTTATACCATTGTAAAATATTCTATTTGACCCCCAGCAGTCGTCAACGGAAACGTACACATTTGAAATGTCTTATGATATTCTGAAAAACAATCAGAGCAATCCACTTTTTCGCTACTGACTTTAAAGATCATCTATACGTCTTGGGAATGATTTGTTTTCATAATATGATAAAAATATATCATATATTATATGATCTAAAGACAGTGAAATCCCACTTATGTTTGTTATTAGTTCTGATGCCAATTTATTGCAATATGCAAAGGCTCCTGAATATTATGAAGACTTTCTTACATTCTTGGAAGTTCATTTCTCTTTCTTTCCATTTGTCTCACTATCAAGGGCAATACCGTTTCACTGCTGCCGTGGCACGGGCCGGTCTGGGCTTATCCTATGCTGAGAACCAACCGTGCGGGCAACCGGCCACAAGGGCGCAGTCTTACGACGGGGCCGTGAACGTATTCACGTGTGATACGCCACGGATGGCCAGATATGTGAGTCTGGACATCGACCCATCCAGCCCCGGTGTAACTAACGCACTCCTGCAGATGGGTGAGGTGACAGTGGAAGAGGTTACATCTGGAGAGTGTTCTCAGGTTGATGGTAAGAGGATATAACTCACAACAACTCCAGGGGTCGATTTCACAAAAGTAGTCTTATCTTGCGACTCCTCTTAAGACTTAAGATGAGTTCCTGCTCTAAGATCGCTCTCAAGACACGTACTCAGACTGATTTTACTTAAGAAATCTTAAGCAAGACGTATCAAAACTACCAATTTGATTGCTGTTTCATGTTTGTTTTTCCCGCTTGACGAAACATTCCTTGAAAAGAATGGCGTAAACCGACTTCCCACGCGTGTGCGTATGGAACACCAACATTCGCCAGAAAAAAATTACTGTACTCAATAGATTTCGCATATTTCAAGGTAGTTCCACACCAGAAAATAAAAGCTTATGATAATTTAAATCATCTGAATAATCTGTAAAAATTGTGTAGTTGCTTTTGTGTGCACTCAGTGGCGTAGCCAGGAATTTTTCAGTGGGGGGGGGGGGGGGGGGCGCTGGGGGGGCTGGAACATTTCATGGGGGGGGGAGGCGTCAAGCAGGGGCGTCAATCGCTTCTCAAAAGTGGGGGGGGGGGACATACCTTGATCATAACTGATGCAAGCGCGAAGCCCTTACGGCGTGGGGTTCGGGGCCCGCTTAAGGGCCCCGAAAAAATTAGATTCTAGATGTTCTGTGGTGTGATTTGAATGATTTGAAGTAATTTCTTACGACTTTCCTCCATGCTTTAACTAATATTTTCTTGGCAAAAGATAATTATTTGAACATTGTTTTCGAGGTTGGAGACATTGAATAAGCTATCGGTATTCTGAGCTATTGGCGTGGGGTTCGGGACCCGCTTAAGGGCCCCGAAAAAAATTCTAAAAAAAGATTCGATGCTCTGTGGTGTGATCTGAGGCAATTTCTTACCACTTTAACCAATAATTATCTTAGCACAAAAGATAATAATTTAAACATAATTTTCGAGGTTTTTTCAGCTAAAGGCATAAGAAAATTTTGTGAACATTATTTTCGAGGTTGGAGTCATTGAATCAGCTACCAGAATTCTGAGCTATAGGCGTGGGGTTCGGGGCCCGCTTAAGGGCCCTGAAAAATTTTGGATTCTAAATGCTCTGTGGTGCCATCTGAGGCAATTGCTGACCACTTTAACCAATATTTTCTAAGCAAAAGATACATTGTAGTACATAATAGGGCCCATGGCGTCATGTAGATCAATGATAATTTTTTTAGAAACTCAAAATCTCAGTGGGGGGGCGACTGGGGGGGCGACAAGGTTTCATGGGGGGGCGGTCGCCCCCCACGCCCCCCCGGTGGCTATGCCACTGTGTGCACTTGCTCTTGTATCACTGTTTGTTTTCCCTAGATGGCAGTGTTCGATTAGTTGATGGAAGCTCATCTTCTGAGGGACGTGTTGAGGTCTACTATCAGGGTAGCTGGGGAACTGTCTGTGATGACCTATTCGATATCAATGATGCTACCGTCGTCTGTCATCAACTCGGTTTCCCATCTGCACTGAGAGCTGTATCTGCTGCCACTGAATTTTCCATTGGCAGTGGAGTGATTCTCCTGGACAATCTGGAGTGCTCAGGAGATGAAAGTACACTTGCAGATTGTTCCCATGGAGGATGGACTGAACATAACTGTGGCCACTCAGAAGATGCTGGAGTCGTCTGTGCACCACTTATCTTGACAACGGAAGTCCCTGTTGTGTATGAAGGTATGTTTGGATATTTTTGTCAAGTAATATTCTTTGATGAAGGAATATCTGATAATAACAGGTTTTAACAATTGTTGGATGTGCTGCCATTTGTTGCAGGTGACATGGGAAAGGAAAATTGGGGAAAAAATGGAACTCCTTTTCTGGACCTCTGCATTAGAGGCTGTGGTTCAGTCTATCACATATTTAAAGATGTTGTGGAATGCTCGAAGACATTTCCGACATTTTTTGGGTATATGTAGCCTAAGGTGTGATGAAATAAAAACGACTATTGTTTCTGTCATGAAATGAGTACAAAGGGTACTTTTGAGAGCTATTTTTCAGGTCCTGTTTCGACCCGAACGTGCAACTTGTGTAAAAGTCGTCGTTGCGGGCAGCAAACAAAACACAGTCAATCGTGACGTAATAAACAGGACTCCTTTATGCTACTCTGCATCGGGAGTCCTGTTTATTACGTCACAATTTACTGTGTTTTGTTTGCTGCCCGCTACGACGACTTTTACAAAAATTGCACGTTCAGGTCGAAACAGGCATGACAGGACTTGAAAAACAGCTCTCAAAAGTACCTTTTGTACTCATTTTATGACAGAAACAATAGTTGTTTTTATTTCATCACACCTTAGGCTACATATACCCGAAAAATGACGGAAATGTCTTCGAGCATTCCACAACCTCTTTAAGCCATCACAACATTATAAGTCCTTTTAAATAACTTGTTTGATTTATAAATGACTTGTTTAATGCATTTGAAAGGTTTGTGTGTTTTTTTACGTCACTGTATTATTTTGGTTTGTAGCTGTTTCTATCATTGGGAGGCCAACTGCCCAAAGCACCAGTCATGATCGCTACCCAGGAGAGTTTGCTGTTGACGGCGATATCAATACATTTTCCCACACTGGTAAGGTGTTTTCAAAGTTTCAGGGATGTTATCATAAATCATAGAAAAGACTTTCTAATCAATACAAATGGCTGCAAATACAATTTGCGGATGAATGCATGCTTTACATGGCTAGAAATAAAGTTTGAAGAGGAGAGGTTTGAATTGGTGTTTATAGAGTTGTGCGTTGGTTCTCTCCTGTGCCACGAGGGTTTTTCTCCGGGCCCTCTGCTTTTCCTCCCTCTGGAAAAATCAAACACTTTCGATCTTAGGCTGTGCTCCGTGGTCTTATATGGGTCGATGTGGCCGGCAGCCATAGGTGCCTTTACGTGCCAGCGGCCCGACCACGTTGTAGCTGCGTCCTTCGCAATTCAGCATACCAGCTGCGAGTTAGGATGATTAGCCTCCCAAATGATTATTATTATTATTATAATTATATCCATAAATGTAGGGTATGAAATAAGGGAATAAATGTGTGTTCCGGAGGTATAACACTCTGTTTAAAACCGGTGTGAGTCTGGATGGGTAATTATCACCCATCCAGACTCACACCGGTTTTAAACAGAGTTTTTAATACCGATGGAACACATATTTATGCCCATTCATAAATACCTTTTTGGTCAAAAAACCAAATCTTTTCGGTCCAAAAATCAAAACAAGTCAAAAACTAGAGTTGTTAACCATTTTGTTCAACACTTTTGCTTCATGTTTTACGAAACACCCCTCAGACTATAATATGGAATGCCCCTCCACAGTTGCGTGCGCGTTGCGCATTCCTCCTCCATGGTTGCGCGTACTGCGCGATGTTGCGCAAAACGCAGCTGGGCTGGTGTAGTGTGAATATTGGACTATGAAATAATGAAACACTGGTATTATTGCGCATGCATACTTGGGGAATTTGAACGTTCACCCAATGAAACATAAAAGGCAACGGATTTCATGGGAGTCCAAATTTCATGTGACACTGGAAAAGTGTTTAAGACCAGCTAGCCATGTCTTTATCATCCGTTTAAGACCGGCCACGTGACAGGCTCTCGACCAATAGGAATGCGTTAACGGTCTTAGGTATTTATGAATTATAGATATAATTTGATGTAGCCTCCACTTAGGGCATTAGAAGCCAGCTGTTTGCTTAGTATTGTGTCCCTGAGCAAGGCATTTTACCCCAACTTGACTCCAACCCATCTGTAGCATTGGCTGCTGGCTCTGGCTTTGGGTGTACAACAATAGGCTGGCTGAACAATTTGTTAATTGCTCTTCTGATGAAAACTCTTGGTTTTTTTTTCTCATTTTGCAGAGCCGAACGATCAACATCCGTGGTGGCGAGTGGACTTGGGCAGTGAATACTGCTTGGGCAGAATCACAGTCACACTCAGACAAGGCTGCTGTGGTAAGAACACCACCATCCTAAGTTTCTCTTACCAGACTAACATGATCCTCTACCATTCCAATCGAAAAACCCACCTGTGTTTGTAATTAGTCCTGATGCCAAGTTATTGCAATTGGCAAGGGCTCATCATGAGTGTTGCAAAGGCTTTCTTGCATTCTCCAAAGTTAAGTTCATTTTCGCATCCGTCTCACTGTTAAGGGCAATACCGTTTCACCGCTGCTGTTGCACGGGCCGGTCTGGGCTTATCCTATGCGGAGAACCAACCGTGCGGGCAACCGGCCACAAGGGCGCAGTCTTACGACGGGGCCGTGAACGTATTCACGTGTGATTCACCACGGTTGGCCAGATATGTGAGTCTGGACATCGACCCATCCAGCCCTGGTGTAACTAACGCACTCCTGCAGATGGGTGAGGTGACAGTGGAAGAGGTTGCATCTGGAGAGTGTTCTCTGGTGCCTGGTAAGACTATGTTCTTAGTCATCTCTTTTTTTTTCTCGTTTCCTCTTGATTAACTGAAACAGCATTCACTCCTAGCTCTGCATGCATATGAGACTCTCACAGCATTCTGTGCAACTTTAGAGGTTGCATAATTTCATCCTGCGTTGTTGTGTAAGACTAAATGCAAAAATAAGTTCCCTACATCTGAAGCTCTGCGATTAATTATTTGCTGACATGCCCAATCCCAATCATGAGCTTAACAATTTGCTTTAAAAAACACCCACTGGTGTTGTATGAATTAACCACCATTCCAACAAAGACATAGTTTAGCCTTCGGAGAACAGACAGGTGTAAAACATACACAAATGTAGCATCATTCCATGGCATCTTTGTAATATTCTCACTTTTGCAGGCTCAGTTTGATGTCAGTAGATGTGTGCCATGTGTGAAGAAAACTTTTAGTTATGATTTTGGCCCCCTTAATTTGGCCCCTTTGATTAATTGTGACCTGTTCTGTCAAAAGCAAACGGTTGAAATTGAGATAGGGCAAAAAAACGCTGTGGAGGTGATTTTTTTCGATTTTCTAATTTTTACATATTTGTAATCCTGAACATGTCTAAAATATACTATAAAAGTTTGAAACCCTAATTTAAACTCTAAATATGGTATTTTTGATGATTTGTTGAGGTATATCAGTTAAAGAAATTACTGTTTTGTGACGTTCGTGGCCATTTTCTCCGTTTTCTACTTTACGACACAATGAACTTCAAAATAGCATAACTTTGCCCAGGAATTACAGGTTTCAAAAATTAAACCACCTATTAAAAGGGAAATGTACATATTTTAACAGTATGCAAAAATCTCATTTTGGACCTCATGCCCAGAAAAGTCTGATTTTGACAGAACAGGTCACAATTGGTTTAATCTGATATTGAAATGTTTATTATATAGTTGTTTTAATTAATCTTTTTACTTGTTTTAATCCAACCACTTTTCAGTATTTGTGGTTAGAAATAAAGGGAATACATGTACTAATAAAAATATTTTATTATTTTTTGAAACGTGCGGAGGTGGAAAAGCCACAAAAACTGCTCAACATCACTGGGATCGAGTGCTGCATTCTTTCAATGATTGCGTACAATTTACAGTATTAAATGTGCTGATCCTGCACATTCACAATGTATATTGGTGTCCCAAATGGAATGTCATACAATATTAAGTTGATATCCTTGTTACAAAGTAGCAATAAAAGGCGCTAAACTCAGTATGAACAACTACCAGTCCTCAGGAGAATGCAGATGTAGAGTGGAGTACAGGTTAACGAATATGAGCAGCATATAAAATAAGCGAAATTTGAACATGTAATGAAAAAAGATTCAAGAAAGACTTAAAGGGGGACGTCTCCATAGTCCAAAGTCCCATTGGTCCGAAGTCCCATTGGTCCAAAGTCCCATTGGTCCAAGTCCCATTGGTCCAAGTCCCATTGGTCCAACGTCCCATTGGTCCAAAGTCCCATTGGTCCAAAGTCCCATTGGTCCAAAGTCCCATTGGTCCAACGTCCCATTGGTCCAAAGTCCCATTGGTCCAAAGTCCCATTGGTCCAAAGTCCCATTGGTCCAACGTCCCATTGGTCCAAAGTCCCATTGGTCCAAAGTCCCATTGGTCCAAAGTCCCATTGGTCCAACGTCCCTTTGGACTCCGACGTCCCATTGGTCCGAAGTCTCATTGGTCGGACAACCCATTGCTCTATACGTTACATTTGTATAAACGTCCCATTGGTCCAAAGTCCCATTGGTCCGAAGTCCCATTGGTCCGAAGTCCCATTGGTCCGAAGTCCCATTGGTCTGGCGCCCCATAGGGTTAGGGTTAGGGTAAAGGTTAGGGTCAGTCAACCTGAACAAGTGGAACTAGACAGTATTATGTTTCGTCGGACCAATGGGACTTAGGACCAATTGGACATCGGACCAATGGGACTTAGGACCAATGGGACTTTGGACCAGTGGGGATTCGAACCAGTGGGACTTCGGACCAATAGTACTTCCAATTATCGAGACGTAACCAACTAAAAGTACATAAATGGTGTACAGGAGAACTGTAATATTTAAGCTTTAAACTTTATCCTAACAGTTTGCTCATTGGTCGGACAAAACAATTTGGAGAAAAGATATTCTGTTGCAGGGAATATTTATTTCTTGGAATTATGCCACTTGCAGATGGGAGTGTGCGTTTGGAGGGCAGTAGCTCGGCCCACGAAGGCCGCGTGGAAGTCTACTTCAGAGGCTCATGGGGCACCGTCTGCGATGACTCGTGGGATATCAATGCCGCGTCAGTTGTCTGTCGGCAACTGGGCTACACGTCGGCCGCAGCTGCACCGAATTCACAGGAAGCCGGCTTTGGAATGGGAGAGGGGAGGATACTTCTGGATGGGTTGGACTGTTCGGGGGAGGAGAGCAACTTGTACGAGTGCCGCCACAAAAAAACCCACAACTGCGATCATTCTGAAGACGCTGGCGTTGTATGCACTGTGGTCACAACAACACCAGTCAGCTTTGTCCCAGGTAAAAAGAAGAACCAGATCCAGGTGGCAAAAGTTGGGTGGAGGCCACCAATTGCCATACTTTTATGATAATATTCCCAGATGGGGCTTGGGGCAAGGAAGTATAACCTCTTATTTGTTTGCTTGTAATTTCGAGGTTTTCTGATCCCTTTTTTTCTTGGAAGAGAATCTATGTAGTATATAGTTCCTGAAACATTCTCATTTGGACAATTTCCAAATTCTACAGATTTATGAAGAGCAATTTACGACTACTGTGCTCCCAGTTTTTGTGAAAACAAAAAACAAATGCTGTTGCTTCACGGTTTGTATCTGGAAGTATCTGAGACCCTTTGGGCACTTGGCATTGCTTGAAGCAACAGATATGTGTTGTGTTGTTTGCACCGCTCTTCAGCTGTACATGGCATCACACTCATGAGATGGACACAAACTTTTGACATTAGTTGAATCTTCTCTCTATACTCTATTTTCTTCTTCGACAGATGTGCCCGCAGTAGATGGTGCATTACGTCTGGTTGGAGGGACAGCGACCTCAAACGGGCGCCTGGAGGTCTACTACAGGGGCCAATGGGGAACAGTCTGCAATGACCAGTGGGACCTCCAGAACGCTCAGGTCGTCTGTCGTCAGTTGGGCTTCGGCTCGGCGGATCCGGTCCTGTACCAGTCCAAGTATGCCGGGGGGAAAGGCCCCATCCTGATGGATGACGTGAACTGCACCGGCGCCGAGACGTCCCTTATAAGTTGCCCGAGACGGCACTGGAAGCAGCACGACTGCAGCCATGATGAGGATGTCGGGGTGGTGTGCCAAAGGCCAGGTAAATAAGTCTATGCTTGGCATCGGTTTTGAACTTCCAGTAGTGACATTTTGTAGTGGGCGGAGATGCGGGGAGTGGTCTTTGCATCCCATTAAAAAAATGAGATTCCCCTAAAAAAAGTATCCTCATGGTCTGATACATTGATACAGAAGTCAAGGTGACATATCAATTGGCCTTTTATCGCTCAATAGCGCCCTGCCTGTTACTCCTTATACTGCCCCAAACCGTATTCTGGATTTCTCAAGGAGTAAATACAGTAAATAATGAAAGGTTTGCGGAAACACCATGTGCGAATAATTTCTCAACTAAGAGAATGGTTCTGAAAAGAACCAGAGGTATAAATTTGACGTTCCGGTCAGTATGCTATGACCGTCTTCAGGAGAATGCCTAAACTCTAAGAAGTTCTGCCGTCATGGCATTGCAGGACCTTCTTAGAGTTAAGGCATTCTCCTGAAGACGGTCAGAGCATACTGACCGGGACGTCGAGTTTATAACTCTGGTTCTTTTCAGAACCATTCTCTTAGTTGAGAAATTATACGCCCATGGTGTTTCCGCAAACCTTTCACTATTTAGTATCTCCTCCATGCAAAGCCTCAAATCTTACATAGTAAATACAGTGTTGTACAATGAAATACAGGCCCTAAAGGGTTAATGTTAACATTCCTCTTTAATCAACTTTTTTTATACACCCACTAGGTTCTGTTCGCCTTGTCAGCATTGCTGATTCCCCGGGCCTCGCGGGACGGCTGGAGATGTTCCTGGATGGGGAGTGGCTGCCGGTGTGCAACCCGGGATGGGACATGACTAGGGCCAATATGGTCTGCAGACAGCTTGGATTCAGCTCTGCCATCAACACTGGCAGCGCTGGAGTTTATGGCAGTGGGCAAGGGTCAAGCGTTATTAATAGGGTAGGAAATCTTTTTCTTTGGTTTTCCTTTTTTTAAATAAGACGACCTAGCTGATTTTTGTTGTTATTTTTTTTTGATCCGAGAAAAACAGAAATGATAAACTCAAGAGTTAGCAACAGTCGTTTGATATAGTTTTAAACTTGTTTTAAACTCCGAACACTTTCGATCTCAGGCTGTGCTCCGTGGTCATATATGGGTCGATGTGGCCAGCAGCCATAGGCGCCTTTACGTGCCAGCGGCCCGACCACGTTGTAGCCACGTCCTTCGCAATTCAGCATACCAGCTGCAAGAAAGGATGATTAGCCTCCCAAATTATTCTTATTATTAGTATTATTATCCATTTTGAAGACGTTCTCCTTACTCAATTCTTATTAACTACGGAGCATTAAAACAACCTTCAGGTTTCTTGTACTGGATCGGAGGTGCAGCTCAAGGGCTGCAAAGTGGATGCTGCTCAGGGAGGCAGTTGCCATGACGCCGGCGCTGACAGTGATGTGATTGTGCAGTGCATGAAACACAAATCTGGTGAGAGAAACATTTGGGAAGAGGGGTGGGGGTATGGGAGGGAGAGGGGGAGGAAGCTTATTCAAAGGGTAGTTTCCAGGAGTAGAAGAAAATAAAATTTGGTAAAAGCAGGGGTGTCGCAAGACCAATTGGAATGGATGAGTGTGACATCAATTTGCCGAGAGGCCTTGATGAAAGGTAGCCTCAATTTTGTTTGCCACCCAGCCGCCGCATAAACAAAGGGGGTTAGGGGGCTGGGCATTTGGGGATGCTGTTGAAATTAAACAGGACAGACTGCAACACTATCAGACACTATTCGCTGTGCTATGTTTGCAGACAGACAGACGATTTTGCCAACAAAAATTATTTATTGGGGAAGGGTGTCACCCCCCCCCCCCCCTCCAGCCCCTTTCGCCGTTTAGAGAGTCCTGTATTATTCTGTATTTGCTTTGGTGGTAGAGTTTGCCTCAGCTAACCCATGCGTTCATGCAGTGGGGCTCTCACGGTAAGCCACACAGCGTCCTGTACAGTTCCTTATGCTGCATGCAGTCTATTTTGGCTTATTCATGGAAAGTGCCACCAGTGTAAAATCCATGAATCTTGGGAGTGTAAATAAATTTGTATAGATTAATTTGACACTAGATCTGGAAAGTTTGTTTACTGACTGATGAGTTCTCACAGTCACTTCAGGACTTTGAATTGGGGGGAGAAGGGTTGGGGAGGGGGACACCATCCTCCTTTTGGATGTGACCATTTTGCTGACATGAGGTAGATTTTGCCGACAAAAAAACAATTTATGGGAGGGGGGGGGGTGGTTCACACCCCCAAACACCCCCGTCTAGCGACGTCCGTGATAAGTGCCACAAAGTGCACAGAACCTTCATCAGTCTGTTCAGTGTTAGTTCAGTCCCTGTGCACAGAACCTTCATCAGTCCATGCAGTGTTAGTTATGTCCCTGTGCACAGAACCTGCATCAGTCCGTTCAGTGTTAGTTCTGTCCCTGTGCACAGAACCTTCATCAGTCCATTCAGTGTTAGTTCTGTCCCTGTGCACAGAACCTTCATCAGTCCGTTCAGTGTTAGTTCAGTCCCTGTGCACAGAACCTGCATCAGTCCGTTCAGTGTTAGTTCTGTCCCTGTGCACAGAACCTTCATCAGTCCATTCAGTGTTAGTTCTGTCCCTGTGCACAGAACCTTCATCAGTCCATTCAGTGTTAGTTCTGTCCCTGTGCACAGAACCTTCATCAGTCCATTCAGTGTTAGTTCTGTCCCTGTGCACAGAACCTTCATCAGTCCATTCAGTGTTAGTTCAGTCCCTGTGCACAGAACCTTCATCAGTCCATTCAGTGTTAGTTCTGTCCCTGTGCACAGAACCTTCATCAGTCCATTCAGTGTTAGTTCTGTCCCTGTGCACAGAACCTTCATCAGTCCATTCAGTGTTAGTTCTGTCCCTGTGCACAGAACCTTCATCAGTCCATTCAGTGTTAGTTCTGTCCCTGTGCACAGAACCTTCATCAGTCCATTCAGTGTCAGGTCTGTCCCTGTGCACAGAACCTTCACCAGTCCATTCAGTGTTAGTTCTGTCCCTGTTTTGTTGCAAGATGGTGACGTCAGGCTAGCTGGCAGTGAGCCGTTGTACAAGGGGGAAGTCAAGATCCGTCTAGAGGGAGTGTGGCGTGCCGTCTGTGACACCGATTGGCAGCTGAGTGACGGGGAGGTTGTCTGCCGTCAACTGGGCTACTCTGGTGCCAAATCAGTCTACCAGAGCGAAAACCCGAACGGTAAATATGAGTCTGAAAATTTGGAACTTTGTGTTTTTGGGCCGAATGATATTAAGAACCCTAAATTGAGAGACCCCATATGTCAAAACCTGCCATTAGGCCAAAATTTTGGCCACCGGTATCAAATGAGGGGAATAATCGTCATAGCGATTTTTGTCAAGGTATACACCTCCAGAGTTGGAAAATATGTGATAGCATTGCAGCGGTGGCAGCTTTTTGGGTGTTATCACCTTTTTTTTTCAAAATGTCCATCAAAATGCTTGTTACCACTCTAGGGGCGGTACACCTTGCGCATGCGCACTGTAATCATTTATGCCCTGATTTGATACTGGCCAAATCCCCAAGCTGATGGCATACATAGAAGAAAATGGATGTGTGAAACTTCTATTTATCATTGTGCATAGAAAAATGTGTCGGCAGACAAATCTTGTACGAGTCTCTGTTTCCATACATTATGTCCATAGTCTGCATGCTGCAGGTTTCAGGTTTCAGGTTTATGTCCATACTATAAGGTAATTAAGTTGAATAATATACATCAGGTAAACATTTTAACGAAACTTTGAAATAATAGTATGGGGAGGCCAGACAAGAAGCCGAAGCTTGTACTAGGTCTGCCCTCTTCACAAAGAATACATGTAGTTATACAATTCATGAATAATCATAGGATATATCAATAATATGTGATTACATTACATTAAATTCACGAGCTCATGCAAAACTTTACAAAAAAAGAATAAGTTACTTGAAGTAAATTTACCATCCTTGGCTTTACATGTGTTGTTAATAATTTAATAAAGTAATAATTTTGCTCTTAATCACCATTGATATTAGCCGTAGTGAGAAGTAGTTTTTTATAATACAATTTACATGCTCTAATTGAGGTCATTGGGCAGAGAGATCGAATTCTATTCCAAAGGAGGGGCCCCTGGTGTCGTACAGTTGAGAGGTGTAGGGATGTTCTAACTTTATTTAGATGAAGCTTATTTGACGACCTCGTGTCGTAATGATGAATATCTGTGTTCATTACAAAAAACGATTTAATATTCAAAGGCAGTATGTTTTTTTCAAAATTATACATCAGAGCACACAATTTATATTTATAAAGATCATATACAGATAAGGTGTTGAACTTAACAAATAGCGGGCAGAGTGATCCTTAAAACTAGAACCATTAATCAGTCTTAAAGATTTCTTCTGTAAAACGAGCAATTTATCAAGGTAGGTTTTATGAGTATTTCCCCAGGCAGTTCTTAATTGCCAGTCGGAGCTTCAAATCTCACACGTCCTAACAAAACTTATGACTATAATTACTACAAGTCGTAAGTCTAGTTTCAAGTTATTACTGAATAGTACAGGCAATATAAGGTTTGACCTCAAACAAATTGCAACAGAATTTTTTTCACCACAGTGCATTTCTATAAGGTCCCTAAAATGACATACTAAAAGTCTTAAAAAATCGAGGTGGTGGAAATATGCCTAATTTGCATAAATCCAAAATGGCCGCAAATGTTAGGACTTTGGCATTGATTTGGTCATATTTCTCATACTAGGTGGATTTTAGAGGTACTTTAAACAACAGTTTTAGTCCTTTTACATTGATTTACTCATTATTTAAGTCCTAGGTAAATTCCAAGATCCCTATGTTTCCGAATTTTTTCAAATGCCGTATAATTTGCATAAATGCCGTATATCAATTTGCCTAATTAAAGTTAAAATAATAGATGCCATGGGTGGACATGTACCAATTGAGGGGTTCCCTGATAATCCAAGTCAAATTTCACACCACAGTGCATTGCTATAAGGTCCCTAAAAAAGTTGTTAAAAATCCAAGTGGTGGAAATATGCCTAATTTGCATAAATTCAAAAGGCCGCTAATTACATGATTTTCATATGATTTGGCGCGGCCATAATAGTATATAGGCCGTTATGTACTTTTGCTTTTTTTTTGTTTAAGAAGTAATTTTTGCCATATTTGGAAAGAGTTTACCTCCCTAAGCCAGAAATGCATTGAAGACATTTTTTCCCAGCATTTTTTGCCGTGTGGCGGCCATCTTGGATTTCAAAATGGCCGCCATTTCGAGCCTAATTTGTATCATAACTTCGGACTTGATTGTCACATGAAGTTTATTTTGATGGCAAACCCCATGTTTTTGATACCAAGGAACCTGAGTACATTATTGTTTATGGTGTACTCTTAATGGATGGCAGCCATCTTGGATATTTCAAATATATGGCCGCCATTTTCGGCTTATTTGCATAATAAATTTGGACTCGAATGGCGTACGAAGTCAATTTCGGTGGCAAACCCCATACATTTGATACCTAGTAATCTTAAAGGGAATATACATCATTTGCTTTTGCTGTAATTTTCAGAAATGGATGGAATTGGGGGGTTGGAAATATAAAGCAAATATAGTTACACTGACTTTTTGGAGGTTTTGGGTTCGAAAATGCTATAAAAACCAAGAAAAACGATCATTTTCCTGTAGTCTGGTTCCCTGACTCCATATAAGAAGAAACAGAGCAGTTTACATACATTGGGGAATTATAAGGTCAGGGAACCAGTCTAGCTGGCTCGTACCCGTTCATAGGTTTGTAATCGATTGCAAACAAGTGCAATGGTCAATTGGGGCTAGTATTTGGAAAAAAAGCCAGTTGTTTCCAACGCTGATCGGCCGATCAGCGTTGGAAATTGATACAAAAATACCACTTTTCTTGAAAATGACAGTATACCAGGTGCCATAATTTTACAGGATGCTTTAGACTGTCATTTACCAACATCCTGTTAAGGTATTTCGCAAAAACTTGGTAGTTTTATTTTTCGATGATTGCAAATGTTGTATATTCCCTTTAATGACCCATTGCTGATGATCTATCCCAGATGGATGGCAGCCATCTTGGATTTTTTTCTCAAAATAGCCGCCATCTTGGATCTTATTTATAATAACATTGCACCTGAATGTCCTATGAAGTCCATGTATTTGAATGAATTCAAGTAAATCACTGTGGACGGGGTACTTACAGTTGATGGCAGCCATCTTTGATATTTCATAATTGCCGCCATTCTGAACTATTTGTATAATAAATTTGGACTTCAATGTCGTATGAAGTCACTATTGGTGGTGGCAAAGCCCATAAATTTGATACCAAGGAATCCAATTAGCACATTTAGGCATCCCAAATGGATGGCAGCCATATTGGATATTCAAAAATAGCGGCCATCTTTGATTTCATTTAAATAATAAGGTGGCACCTGAATGTCGTATGAAGTCCATTTTGATGGCAAACTGCATATGTTCTTGATACCAAGGAACCCAAGTTAATCATTGTTGATGGGGTACTCCACTGGGAGTATACCCCATCAACAATGATTTTCGTGGGTTCATTGGTATCAAAAACATGGGGTTTGCCACCAAACTGAACTTCATATGACAATTAGGTCCGAAGTTAGATACAAATTAGGCCCGAAATGGCGGCCATTTTGAATTCCAAGATGACCGCCACATGGTAGATAGAAAAAAATGTTACCAATGGATTTCCAGCTTAGGAAGGTAAAGTCTATCCAAATAATTATGAGAAAAATTCCTTCTTTAGCAAAGAAAAATGCAGTGGCCAAAAATATGACATAATATGCTATCTAGTAATAACTCTCGTCCTAAGTTGCTTTTCGGGGTACTTTAAACAACATTTTGTCATTTGACATTGGGGCCATTCAGTGTCAAATCACCCCCCAAAACCTTTAAATTTGAAACCCCAACCTCTTCAAATTGGATCATATTTAGTTTATGGGGTAATTTCGGCTGAAAAGCCGAAATTTTAAGTTTTAGCACCATCGGAAAAACAGTTTTCGCGCTACCGCCCAGGCAATTTTGGTCAAAATGGACATTGCTGCCATTTTTAAATGACCATATTTCTATAATCTGTGAGCCAAATGTGTTAATCTTAATTTCTTTTGAAAGGTTACATCATGAGAAATCCAAATTTACCATTTTTTTTCATGTGGGGGTTATTTTAAGTAAAATGACATTTTGACCTTTAATTTGACCTTGAATTTGACCTAGTGCATCACCCGACATTGAGACAAACTTGGATGAAAATTAAACCCCAAGATGTTCGCTACAAAATATTAAAAAATTGGGAAAGATATTTTTTTGTTCGGTTTTTGGCTCATCTCAAAGTTGGCATACGCGTTGCAAAATGTGATATCCCTATGCAGTGTACTAGTGGATTTAAAGTAGGGATTTTTTTGTCCCTGAAATGTGTTAAAATTATTCCTTTTATTTTTTGAGTTAATTCATCAATCACTAATTTTTTTACGGCCGTAAAGTGTTATGTAACTTCGGAGGTGGGTGCTAGGTGAATTATGCAAATCGTAATTCCTTTTCCCTTTGTTGCATACCGATTCCGGGCTTGCACCCATGCGGGAGGGGTATAAAACCATCGCCCACATATTTTCGGATTGAGGTTTGCGGTTTTTTGGTTTATTTCTTTCCCGTATATATAATATGATTTTTGTGATTTGTAACTCCTGTGTTGAATCCTCTGTTCTCTTGAGTTATTCCTTGAGTTTTGGTCCGAGTAGAGCGGCACAAGGGTTCGCTCTGCGACACAGGGATATCACATTTTCCAACACCTCGGACTGGAATGATGATGAAATCAATGTCAAAGGACAAATTGTTGTTCAAAGTACTCCAAAAAGCAATGCAGGACAAGAGTTATGGCCAAATATAAAATCATGTAATTAGTGGCCATTTTGAATTTATGCAAATTAGGCATATTTCCACCACTTGGATTTCTTTCCTTTTTTAAGGAACCTTATAGCAATGCACCATGGTGTGAAATTAATTTATGTACATGACTGGACTTGGATTATCAGGGGAAATGTTATTGTGACATGTCAACACATGACAGCCATAATTTTAACTTTAATCTATGCAAATTAATAAATGGCATTTATGCAAATTATTATCGGCATATCGCAAATTTGGGAAACATAGGGATATTGAAACTTACCAAGGTCTAGAATAATGAGTAAATTCGCCTGATGATCGCCACGCAGTGTGCGTGTGCGTGAAACCAATGGTAGCAGAATAGACTGAACCTATATGTTATATATAGATTCATATATATATCATATTGCAGATAGTATATATATATTACAGCATAATAAATGAATATAAATCATCTACAGATCTTTTCTGAAGTCAATGGGCATCTCAATAATAAATTAAGATCAACTCTCTGTGTTTAGTATTAAATATATTGTTGCAGCATCACTAAATATTCCATTATAAAGTAGCAAAAAAAGTGGTACTGGGTGTGGTTAAGAAACACATTAGAAAACTACTTTCCACCACTCGGATTTCTTAAGACTTTTAATATGTTATAGAGGAGATTTTTCTGAGTAATAACCTTTTTAAATGGTTTCTGTTGCAATTTGTTTGAGGTTATCCCTTAATTTTTCACATAATGCCTGTACTAGAAATGCAACAGAGACATACAAAAGGCCATTTGAACAAAAGTTAAAAATATTGGTATTAATAAAAAAGCATATGAAGCTTTAATGTTTAATATTCATTTAATGTTATTCTATTGGTCCTCCAAATATGTTACTTTTCAATGGAACAACAAAACACATCTGCTCCTGACTGATAGCAGTATCAATCATTGCTATTCCACTCCAATATTGAGTATTGGCATCTGCATACAGTGGAACGCCGCTATAACGAACATTGTTGGATCCACAGAAAGTGTTCGTAATAACAATCGTACGGTATAGCGATTTTTAACCGCCGGTACCCTCTTTTGACCAATAGTGAACTGGCATTTCTCACATTCCGCGGCCGCACGGGGAGTCGTCAGGAAACTTCAGCAACGGGTGGTTTTCCCTTCTATTCCTTGGGACATAATAGCCATCTATCGCTCTTCAAACACGATGTAACTATGGGTCGTTTGATGTTCGGGAATTAAAAAGTGGCCCAAATAGTGTTTAATACATGTACAACCGGTAGATTTTTTGTTAATCTGTTGACTTTTGTCAACAACACTGTTCGGTAAGTTTTGTACATTAAAACTGGGAGCCAAGGACGATGTCCGGTATAGCCGAATGTTCGGTACAGCGGTGGTCGGTAAAGCGGCTTTCCACTGTATTGATAACGTGTTCCTGATCGAGAGAGCTGCGTTTTAGAAGTTTTATTGATCATTCTTATGCCAATTTCAGGGAATGAAGACAGTGACTTTCCCACACTGAGGCAACCGGTGTGCTCTGGGACGGAGGCCAACATCGCGTCCTGTAAAAACAGTGGATGGAATCACGTCGACAAGTGTGAAAAGGGGCGGGTGGGTGTTGAGTGCTACCAGCAACAAGACCAGTCAATCAAAGACGAGCAAGGTTAGTTACTTCTGTGCTTTTAATCCTTGAGTGTCAATTTATACAGGGTAATTATAAAAAAGCGGAACTTTTAGTTCTGTTAAGAACAGTCCTGCTTTTGAGTCCTAAAACAGTTTGTCTTTGGTCTCAACGTTTCGACTTGCCTGCTCTAGTCATCGTCAGGAGACTTCTCATCAGAACTAAAACTACTTTAGTGAAAGTTGATAATAAGCAGGACAAGTTCTTATCAGAACTAAATATTAACTGATCGACAGTAATTATTATAAGTTATCCCGCGAGCGCGAGTGGAACACGGAATAATGTAGTGCGTCTGTGTCCCACATACCACGAGGCCGAAGGTCGAGTGGTATGTGGGACACAGACGCACTACATTTTCCATGTTCCACAAGCGCGAGCGTGATAACAAATTTATCTTCAAGCAAACTTGACGCGCAGTACAGTTGGAACGCGCACGTTTTACACGAACATTTCAGCAGTTGAGCGCATGCAGCTGGAATGTCGCTCGCATCTTGGAATAGCGCAATACGCTGGGTGCGATATGGACCGTGCAATACAGCCTCATATCACACTGTTGTTGCCATGGATCGACCAATCAGGATCAAGGATACAAGTTTGCTTAAAGATAATACCACATGGTGTTACAGCAAACCGAAAAAAATACTTTCTTCACTTTTCTTACAAGGTTTTATCTCCTTTAACCGGTACACCTGTTTTCAGGCAGTTTAATGTTCCTCTGTGCCTTTAATGACATTTATACATTCTTCTTAATGAAACATTCTAATTAATTATTATCCCCTCTGTCTAAATTCTGGATCTGACTCTTATCTACCGACCACAAAAACTCCCACAAGGCAAAAACTTAATAGTTGATACCAAAAATGCAAAGCGATAAACATCATTTGTAACATGTTACTTGTTATTATTTTAGGCCTGGCAAACGGATCGATGATTGCAGTGATTGCCGTTATCGCTGCTTTAGTCCTCCTCATTATCGTCATCATCCTCATCACCCTGGTCATCAGAAAGGCCAAGGGGAAGAGGAGGCAGTCCTACCAGATGGACATCCCACTGTCTCCAGCCTCCCCGCCCCCCAACCAGTGCTCCCAGGACCCGCCCGGCAACGCCAATGTTGAGAATCACTACGCTGCTATGGGTGGGGCCACGGGTGGGGCCACGGCAGAGTCCACCATCGGCATGTGCAATCCGGTCTACGAGACCTCGCTAAACTGGTCCCCGCCTTTGAAACCGGTGTCCTTTGAGTTCCCCTCGCCCCAAGCCGGAGGCGGTGATCTGTAGAAGGGGAATTAGTTGACCACCCTGCACACGGTGCTGCCATCTTCGAAAGTTGTTACCTATGCTCACAATAATGGCATGGTGTGATCTTGTACTAAAAAATACATTCATGCACATTCTGTGTAGTCCCTTGAAATAGTTTTGGTTTATTGTAAAGCACATTACAATGCCCGTTATCATTATCAATGCCCTTTTGTAATGCAGTTATCATTTTTCCTTTGTATGAGACGATATGTTATCAGTACTGATCAAACCTTAGCTTTAATATCATAGGAAATGGTTCCTTCCAAATTGTTTCTTAAGCTGTTATGGATAAAAATGTGCCGGAGTATAGGACTAATATATATAATTGGAGTATTTACCTTTCTCAAGAAAATATCTGAAAAAAATTATGAAATATCGAGAGAATTTTGTACTTAATTCTAATTGTAATAATGTTCACTTGGCTTGTCTAATCGCTATAGCTGCTATAGAAATAGCTCAAATGCTTGTTGGATGGGAATAACAATCTAATACCTAAAAATATTATATTGTTTGTAGTTTTAACAAGTTTTATAGTCATAAACCTATCAATATTTTTGCAGCATATGCCTTGATCTAATTATAACGTTTGTATACGTATCGCTTCAACTTTCAAAACAATATATGTATTTCCTAATTAATGCTAGTGATCAACACAAAATGAACGTGTCAGTACTCCGCAACAGTACTTCCAACAGGACTGTAAATATGCACTGATATTATTGTTAGTCGTTGGACTATGACATCTTGATTTATAATTACTTTCATACATTTACATGTATTTGCAAAGACCTTTTTGTATGTAGGACGTTACTGTATATAATGTATTTTTGCATGACCAGTGCAGTTTAACTGTATAAGGGGCATGTCACAGGAGTCAATTTACAGAAAACTTGTTCAAATTAAGAAGAAACGGCGCAGATATTACACAAGTCAATTTACAGGAAAATTGTTCTAACGAAGAAGAAAACGACCAGGCAAATTTCTGTTCATGTTATGTTCCGAGTTATTTCCATAAACGGTCTAGAACATTCGTTCTTGGGTGTTCCCCTTGCAGTGCATTTGGTTTTGTAAATATTGCCTTGTTTGACTTGCATTACCAGCACACTTTCGCAAAAAAAGTGGTTCGGCCACCATTCTATACAAAACCTCATTGGCCGGGGGTTTTGTGCGTAAACCTTATCAGTCAGCCGATCACACTCAATTGACTTCGGCAAAACCGCACGTCCCATCATAAAGAGTCAGTTAACCGGACCATTTTTTCCGACGTGATTCTAATGTTACCCGATGACTGAAAAATGCCATAGCCTTAAAATGTATTTTTTGCAAAACTGACCCGATTTTAATTTACGAGAAAAAATGTCATGTTGTTGGGTACTGGAGTTCGGCTTGTTTAAATGTAGTTTTAAGTGGCTAGAGTACAAACGTTGCCCAGGGGAACAGCAGTCTGGGTTTGTTTATGGGTGTGTTACTCCCCCAACAAGAACCTCTGGCATAATTTGGACTCGTCTTGATATGAATAGCCATGGTAATTTCAGAATTACGACTTCATAGAACACATCGAAGGTTTACTTTAGTTGTATGAATTTCATTGGCACAGATATGAACATTGTATGGCCGGGCTTCAAAATGTCCACTGAATTGTGGGCGGTACTAATCGAAAGCTGAAGTTTCCAACATCAAAAAATTAATAATAAAATAAGTATAATTATACAATTTTAAAACACTTAAAGAAAATATTTGCAGTTTTAAGTGATGTGTATTATATGTATGTGTTATTGGTAAACATGTAGGTTGCCATAGAGATAACTGCTTCTTAATTTTAGCTCAAAGCTATGAAATTAGAATGGTGTGTATTTTTAGCCTTATGAAATTTGCTTTGGAATTTGACATAAACTGTTCTTGCATATTGCTGAATAAAATCGCTCTAACCAAAACGTCTTTTGTTTGTATTTTATTCTCCCTCGATCTACACTTTTCCTATTATCATAGTCGAGGTCGCCGCTTTTCTCACCAAGGACCGTATCTGGGCGGCACCAAGGCACGATTCCCGGTTGGGAAGAGCCCATACCCCCCTTTCGGACTTTTAAGTTTTTTTCGGAGTTTGGACCGCCCTTTCCCCTCTATGGAAGCGTATTGCTGCCACACCCCCGGAAAAAAAACCGAATCATTTATCTCGTTTAAACGTGTACATCTATTGTTTAACGACTTAATTAATATCTCGTTTAAACGACTTTTGAGCATATGAGCTGGGGTTACTCAAGCTAGGATAGAGTGTCGCGTTAATTGATTGGTCAAAACGCGAGCTGGTTTGGGTTTTGGCCAATGAGGAATTCGCACTCGTGTCATATACACGTGCTTCCACAACGGTATTTTTTCGTGTCCTGAACATTAAGAATGGTCGTTATTTTTGGCTGATCCTGATCCTTTCGAATAGTTACGTTTACGAAGAGAGATGAATTTAAATTAAATTATAAAGCTCGTCATCGAATTGACCTTTCACACTTTGCGAGTTAGCCACGCCCCTTAGACAACCCTATGGAAATTTCGTACACTAAGTTTTGTTTGTCAGATTTTGCGAGTTTCCGCGTCCATTGGTATATTAGACATTAATAAATACCTTGGAGAGTTGATGGTTTTTGGTTGGTCGAGACTCGATCACGTGGGGGTGTATTAACGGCGATATAAAGACCGGCTTCAAAGAACAAGCCAAAAAATGGCCCCTGAACCAGCATTGATCCAGCCCCATGGAAGGCAATGATTGGCCAAGTTTACAACAGTCTTACGGCAGCTTGTAACAATACAACACTGCACATGCGCTCAACCAGCTTCGCCTGAGACTGACGCGCGCGCACGCAACACAGTTGCTATGGGTGCGCGCGCGTAAGGAAGTTTTAAAACGACATCGTACAGCAGTGCAGTATACTGAGGATGTTTACGACGAAAGCCGGCGTAGATCTACGATTTATTTTCTTTAAACACTTCGCCCATCGACATATTGACCTTTCCTAAACCAAGCATCTTTGTAATTCTGGACACAAGGAATGTGTAAACGAAATTTCAGCTTCCTCCATCAGGTAAAAAATATGAAAACATTGTTGTAATTTGTTTCGCTACGGCAGCAGAAGTCCAAACCCTGGACGTCGTACGCGTACGCAATGAAGACGTTGTCCAGCGCAGCCTGGGCCCGGCTGTGGTGTATATAACAACGCTTATTGAAGAGATAGGGTACCACGCATATGTTAAAATATGGCACATGAACATGAACACAAAAAAGTCTGGAAATATCGCCGAAAGAAAGTCACAAAATTGGAGCATTTTAACTGTTTATTTCGTTAAAAAGGTATTTATTAATTCGTCTCGGTCCATTAACAGCGGTCACCCCAAAACCGGTTATTATCACGCAGTGAAGACCGGCTCCTCGCACTGTTATTCCCTTAATATTTCACAGCTACCGCGCGCGATGGGTCAATTGTAATATTCTGCCCGACTTCGTTTTACACAGAAAAAAATGACAGTTTTCGCTGACGGCAAAACTTCTATCCTCATATTTTTCAGAATAGTTCCTAAACATTTCAGAAATCTCATTCATCAGTTAGGCATGAGCATTTTCAACTTTACTTTTGAATAAAATCTTTCTACTAAAGACACGTTATCAGGAAAAAGAATTTCGAAAATGCGCTGTCCGATCTCATGAATGTTCAGTTTACCGAGCGAGTTATGCATACGCTGCAAATAAACGAAAGCACTTTTCCGTACATTGCGTGCTGAATGTAACTGGCGTGCGGAAGTGCATGTTGTATACCAGTGTGCGATTGACGTGCACATGCGCGCGCAGGTTCAGACTTTCCGGCGCATGTTGGATTGGTTGTGCAAGCGAAGTACCGGTGTCACATGAAAATCCGACTCCTATGAAAATCGGACCCCTATTTCCCTATTATTGGTTGATCCCTCGCACGTGACGGGTCACTCTCCCGAAACGATCCTAAAAATAGCATAGTATTGTACTCACGCGTGCGCAGTACTACCAATGAGTCCACATTTCATGGAGTCGGATATTCACGCTACACCGGGACCTGGATATCACCGTGAGTATAAGAGAAGAGTCAACTTTGAAACGATGTCATTGTGATCATCACTGGATTTCCGAATGGGAGGGTGTTTATCACAGTCCGCAGTCATTTTGTTTTCCACCCAATTCGCCTATTGGTCAGCTATATGAGTTCAGCTTGCCAAGTGCCCTCTGCCAGCCATTATCGATGTAGGCACAGAGGTCTTTCCGTGAAAACCAGTGTTTGACTATTCTGTGAGCTTCATCGTAAGCTTTCCAACTGTGAACTCCCAAAAGCTGTTGTGTTGGTTGTGAGTACAAAGATGGGCGGCCCTTTCGGGTCGACGCTTGCGGCGTGGCTTGTGGGAACTTGGTACCTGCTCCTAGTCTTCTGTGCCCATGGCAACGCGCAGGAAACAGGTATGGTTGAGATGGAGATAGGTCATTCTATAAATTTGGGGTCCAAAGTGTGACATTTTTCCCGTCCCTGTTACCTTGGTACTCTGTAATTTGCCATTTAAGCATCATTAAGAATGACTTCAAATGATTGTTTATTTGTTGGGTAGGTAGTTTGCTATTCACAATCACTCTTGGAGGATGACTGCATTAAGGAGTGCATCAGAATTATACAATCATAGATGTCAGATGTAACAGGGACGGGAAAAAAGTGGACCCCAAATTTATAGAATGACCCAGATTTGTTTCTATAGGGGTGGTACAACTTGGCGTTCCCAAAGTTATACGCCTACCTTAATATTAATGCTGACGTCATACTTTAAGGACAAAAAGTACATGAATGATTCGAACGATTCTTGTACTAACAGAAAGCTTATGAATTGGGACTTCATATCCTATATTTTGAAAGTGGTACACTTCACTAAAACAAAGCTTATCGTATTGGAGTGATATGGTGGCCACCGGTAACTTTAATTTCAATGGAGAATGATTACTGTGGGAATAATTGTCTTTGCAAATGTCTGTGTTTTGTCTGATTCCGTAAGGTTTTTTTTCTTCACAGGATCATCGTCACCATTGTTTTTAACTGCAACGAAACCAACAGCCTCCACAATCGATCAACCACTTACCACTACATCGTCAACGACTAGTCGAACATCTCCTTCTGATTCAGCGATCGACCGAGTGGCCACCACCGATTCGACTCTACTGTTGACCACGAAAGGTAAAACATGCAAGCCTCTGTTTTGCCAAAATAATTTCTTGCACAAGTGCCATTTTTAGATTGACCATATTCTTCGAAACTAACGTACAACTGACAGTCATCTACAGATTTCTGCACAGTGTTGTCCATGTACGTTTCAATGTATTATATTGTATTGTTGAGATATGGTGGCCAAAAAAATGCCTTATTAAATATTCAAGACGTCATAACAGGAACATCGTTATTTACCGTCACATTACTTGAAAAATAAAAAGAAATTTAGTCGCCCTCTAGATATGTAACAATTGAGGCCAAACAGCTGGACAGATCCCAAGATGTAGGAGTAGGTTTTCATATTTTAAGTTACTATGACGTAACATATGATTACCTCACTATGACGTCATATCAACTTTTCATCTATAATATTCCCTGTCTATATATACCCACCAAATTTGAGGCCAATCGGTCAAATAAATCTATAGTTATAAGACTGTTAAAAAAAATGAATCTTTAAATTGATGTCACGTAACCCCTGATGACGTCACGATGACAAAATTGTTCATCGGATGATCTTTGAATGTTGCTTCTTGATTATATAAAGTATCAACACATTTTAATCGTGAATTCGTGAGATATGACTAATTACAACTCACAATTGACACTTCCGATTACTTTGACGAGGGTCACATTACCTTGTCATTCCAGGAGGCATATCTTCTGGCCATAATGCAGTGTGCAAAGAACTGTAGCCATACCTTATCGTATTGTAGATATACCGTGTCCACCGGTAACTTTTATGAGCATGGAGAATGATTACTTTTGCAATAGTTGTCTATGATTGTAATGTCTGTTTTACCTGATTCTGTAAGCTTTTTCCTTTTTCACAGGATCATCGTCATCGTCACCATCATTTTCAACTGCAACGAAACCAACAGAATCCACAATCGATCGACCACTTACAACTACATCGTCAACGACTAGTCAATCATCCACTTCTGATTCAGCGATCGACCGAGTGGCCACTACCGATTCGACTCTACTGACTACGGAAGGTAAAACATGCAAGTCTCTATTTTTTCAAAATACTTTCTTTCATAAGTGCCATTTTTAGGTCGACCATATTTTTCGAAATTAAGGTACGATATCTCGACAGTCATCTACAGTTTTGGGCTCAGTGTTGACCACGCACATTTCAATGTATTATATTGTATTGTTGAGATATGGTGGCCTCCAACTTTCCTCGTTAAATATTAATGACGTCATAACAAGAAAAGTACGTAATTTTTCGTCACATTACTTGAAAAAATAAATGTGTATCTATAGATATGTAACATTTGAGGCCAAAACAGATGGACCGATCCCAAGATATAGGAGTAGGCTTATATTATTTTAAGTTGCCATTATGTAACATGTGATTACGTCATTATGACGTAATATCAATTTTTATCTATAACACTTCCCTGTCTATGTACCTACCCCTGTTCATATTGACATTTGAAAATGCCCCTTTAAGATGACGTCACATGACGTGTGATGACGTCATCATGACGTCACCTCAATTTTCACCCATAAGACATCCCGGGGAACGTACTTATCAAGCTATACAACCAAATCGAAACTATAAGTCTATAGATATAGGCCTTAGAAAAATTCCGCTTTAATGACATGTGATGACGCCATCAATGTTTTACTTTTACTTCAGAGGATATAGGGCTTCAAAAAGGCACCTTTAATGTAATGTCATTTGAAACACGATGACGCCATCGGGAAAACAATATTCACGAACCATCTTCGGGTGGTGGTCCAAGTGTCTACCAAGTTTTGAAGTCGATCGGACTGACGATAGTGCCATAGTACATGGGCAGAAGAAAGAATATGTGAGAAGCCCGTCTCAAAATCGAGACAACCACCTCCTTTTTTTTAATGTCATCGGGTAGTGACATCTGAATCAAATGAAATTAAATACATCGCTCCCTTTGAGAGATAATTTTTTTTGTATAAACTTGAAACGATATTGTTTATACCATACTTTCTAGTTATTAAATTGATGCGCACGCGGATGGCAGGGGTAAGACCTTGTAATTTGCGTCAACCAACAAAAACTACTGGGAGTGGGGGGTCTCAACTTTCCCTGGCAAGGAAACTCCGCCCACGTTAAAACAATCAATAGACAAATCGAATGAAAGTCATTAGACTGAGGGTTTTTTTACGAATCCCACAAATTATACCTTTCAAACAGGATTTATAATTGTTATCGTTATCATTGTAATATGATGTTCCTGCAGATCACACCACAGATAATGTTACACGGCACACGTCAGAAGAGTACGAATTAAGTGAGATATATCGCACCTGCAATCATTGGAATATTCTCCATGTCGAGTATATTCTCTTGACTCTTTTAACTTCTGGCAGTAGCTTCCTCATGTCACTTGGTGGTCGGTCGATCAGTCGGTCGGTCGGTCGGATGGTCTGTCTGTCTGTCTGTCTGTCTGTCGGGCGGGCTGTCTGTCTGTCTGTAGCTGTCTGTCTGTCTGTCCCGAAAACTGACCAACAGTACACTGCAAAAAATGTAGTGTTAATTTAAAACCATTCGGTATCTATATAGGACAACACCAGTAAAATTTAACACCAGATGGTCCTATATAGATACCAATGGTGTAAATTTAACACTGCAGTTTTTGCAGTGTATGGTGTTCCATATGTACCATCGGCGTCGCATTTTTAAGCTCTGGCAGGGATCATTTGGATCGATTTCATGCAAGATTTTCATACAAGACTTCTTGCCACACGGCCAGAGCTTATTATTCACTCGCAATTGTTTAAATATACAACAGCGGCAGCGATTTAGTCGGTAGACTACGGATCCGAAGTTTAAAGTGATCATCCGCGGAAGATCATCCTTTCGTATAGATTCGTACGTTATCAGGTAAAGACGTCTTCTCGAGATACGAGTCAAATATCTCCTCAGCATTCCATCTTTCCGAGATCATGGGAACAAACTTTATTAAGCTTTTGAAGACAGTGTTTCGCGCGAAATTAAAAAAAAAACCGCGGGAGAAATAGGACCAGATTGCTGGCAGGCCCTGGTCCCAGGGAATGTGGGAGGCCCTACGAAAAAAAAAAAACTTTCCCCTCCACTTTTCTTAATACGTAGTGCGCTTAAACCTCGATATTGACGAACCTCCTTAATTTTGGAATGTCAAGAAATGTCAACGTCCGAATTTATGGGCCGAAATTTGAAAAGGTGACTTCTTGAAATCAAGCAAAAGTTCGGGGATGGGGTTGCCTGATGCGGTGTTATCCACAAGGTTCCCAATTGAGCGCTTAAGAATTTCTGTCAAGTTGCCGAATTTCATTAATATCTCTATTGACATTTCATTTTTTCCAGAAAGTATTTTCGTTTTGTTTGTTTTTTGTCTGCATTTGAATATGAAAATCGACTACATTCTATACAATTCCATACATTCTTTCATTTTCAATACATTCTTTCAATTCGTGTCAATGACTAGGTTTTTTTTTTAATATCGAATTAAAATAACTTGAGTGCTAAGTACGGAGTGGAACTTTGAGCATTAAATTTTGGAGAAAAAAAGTTGCCCGTAATTTATCGAGTTGACCCACCTCGAACTGACTGCCACATTAAAAATTCGACACTCTGTTCAATGGACCGATCCAGTAAGGACCGATTTTTTTTTTTAATTAAACTGTTACGATTTTATCGAGACAACATGCAGTATCATATTTCATATTAATAAATACCTTGGAGAGTTGATGGTTTCTGATTAATCGAGACTCGATCACGTGGCCGGTCATTAACGGTGATAATGGACCGGCTTCAAAGATCAAGCGAATAAATGGCCCCTGAACCAGCATTGATCAAGCCCCGTTCAGCCATGCAAGCCAATGATTGGTCAAAATAGAGTAACAGTCCTGCGGTAGCTTGTAACAATAGAGCACTGCACATGCGCTCAACCCCCATCGCGTGAGACTGACGCGCGCGTACGCAACACAGTTGCTAGGGATGCGTGCGTGCGCGCGCGTAAGGAAGTTTTGAAACGACATCGTACAGCAGTGCAGTATATACTGATGATGTTTACGACGAAAGCGTAGATCTACGATTTATTTTCTTTAAACACTTCGCCTATCGACATATTTACCTTTCCTAAACCAATCATCTTTGTAATTCCGGACACAAGGAATGTGTAAACGAGATTTCAGCTTCCTCCATCAGGTAAAGATATGAAAACATTGTTGTAATTTGTTTCGCTACGGCAGCAGTTTCTGTTGAGTTTACGTCGTTATAGCTGTTAAGCTAAAATATGGCCCATGAACATGAACACAAAAAAGTCTGGAAATATTACCGAAAGAAAGTCACAAAATTGGAGCATTTTAACTGTTTATTTCGTTTAAAAGGTCTTCACTGCGTGATAATAACCGGGTGTGGGGGTGACCGCTGTTAATGGACCTCGACTTCGTCTCGGTCCATTAACAGCGGTCACCCCCACACCCGGTCATTATCACGCAGTGAAGACCGGCCCCTCACACTGTTATTCCCTTATTAATATGACCATATTGGAAAGGAAATTAGTATTTTCGAGAAGGCATGGACAAATGATCGCGAAAACACGTACTGCACGTTGTGAATAATAACACCAAGTACACGATAAAAATCCATTACTAGCCAATTGCGGTATCGAATCAGGATACAGGAAGAAAGTTTCCTATCCAGGGTTTACTATTGGAAACCAGGTTGGAAATGAAGTAAGCACTGGGGACGAGGTTGCCTAACACCCTCCCCAAGATGTCTCCAAAAAAAACTTCCGGCATCACAGTGACCAACACAAAAGGGGGCGGGGGTTCCCTCTGCCGAATGTATTGCTTCACAATGTCCGCCCCTGCCATAATTCTTTGTAATAGTATTATTGTTGTCTTTATTGCTGCGTGTCAATATACGGATGTTTAAGGCAGGCAAAGTCCAGACAAATAAACAGACTCAGTGCTCAAAGATACTTATCACTGTATCGTCCATGCAGGACCTGAAGCAGATGGAACTAACAATCCTTAATGAGTTTTCTGGTAACCGCAAACAGCTTTTACTTCAATTTTAATTTGTAAGAAAACGCAAACTTCGCAAGTGCATTATATCTAATCACCGTCCTGTTCAATGCACGTTGATATGAAGTATACATGTAGACCCTGCATATGCGAACGAAATGGCAAGGCAAGATCATATTTTTTGGCGTGTGATTTATATTTTGAGTTTTTAGAAAATCGATATTATGCACATGGAGAATACTGCCGGTCGTGTCCTGGATAAATTTGAGTGACCATATAATATCATCACCATCCTAAGGGATCGCTGCCCACATAATAATGAAATGAAAGTTAATTGATTGAGGCTTTTCCACAAATTTTACTTTCAAAGAAATGGTAAATTCGTAATTTAGTGTATAAGGTAACAAGTGTATAAGGTGAGGGGGACAATTCAAATGTCGGCAGGGAGGGGGAGTCTCCTTTGCCTCCCCACAGATACGCAGGATTAAAAGACCTTTTTGCAATTCAAGAAGAATAGGTGGGTTGACGTGCTTAGCAAGTTATACCTTTCAATACAGCCTGACAAAGCGTATGATCTGAGAGATAAGTGTATGAAGAGACTGAGAAAACACCTGTTGTGTTTTGACGTGTGATATATGAATCATGGATAAGTGAATTGAATGTAATTTGATGAAGGCCTTTTGCGCTGCATAATATTTGGAACACATGGTGAATCATTTTTGGAAACTAATTTGGAAAAAAGCTGTTCTCGGATTATGAAAAACATAAGCCTACCATAGGTTCGAAACTACATGTCATGTCGTACCGGCGGAATCACAGATTTTGGGGGAGTATATTTTCATTATTTTAAAAAAATTTTTTAGGAGGTTGGTGCGCGGAGGGGATGGGTTTTAAAAGTGGGGTAGGGGAAGCGAACACTGCCAGTCAGTGTTTGCAAATTCGATAAAGTGAGAGGGATGTCTTGGCCTTATTTGATGCTAGGCGGAGCTCTTTCCCTTTGCTTCTTTCCTTCATTTCCATCAGTATTTCACGAATACGTGGAGGGAAAGCAGTTTTTGGTTGAATACAGCAGGTATATCTGAGCATGTAAATGTTATGCGCCACATGCGCCAGCCAATTGGAGACGCCTTTAGAAGTCGTGACGTCATTTAGAGCAGAAATTCGGCCCAGCTTTTGATTGGTCAGTGGCGGCCATTTTTTTGGTCAATCACATCACGCACCCTAACATTAATATTTATCACGCTGTGTGAATGGAAGACACTTAGGTTCTCGTGGTATTTTCCCTTCAATTAACTTATCCCAACCAACAGAAAAAATGATGAAAATGGACATAGGTTTGAACCAGAGATCTCGTGATTCATAGCTCATTCCATCCACTAGGCCACTGTTGCATCTTGACGAAAGCCGTTCTTTGAAATGCTTTAATGAACATGCATGATTTTCTGATCGCAATGGTGTGACGTCATTATTTGCTCATGAATAAACATCGAACTAGCTGAATAATCATGACCGTTGACGATGCATGTGCTGCAAATAAACACACCGCCGTCGGCTCACCGAAGACACGATTGAAGGCGCCCGCTGAGTGGTCAGAATCTGTTATAAGATTGAATTTTGCGTCGGGGTGATATAAATCAAATTAGGTCTCGCCCTTCACCGACGTTCAAACACTGTATACTCAGTGTGTTACCTCCCAAGTGAAAGTTCGAAAAAAATCACTTGGGTTTCGATGTTTAAAATCTGGAGATCAGATGTTCAGAATCGGGTAATGGTCAGAATCTGGAGATCAAGACGCAGTGTTATTTTGCATGCTGCATGCGTATCACAGACACTCGTTTTGACAGTGCCCCCTTTTTAAAGTCCTGCCAACGTCGGCAGTTGTGCCGCCATGAACAGCGCCACCTTTTGTTCGATAGTGCCCTCGATCGTCCACTTTGAACACCGCCCCTTAACATAATGGTGTCCCCCCCCCCTCCCCCCCCCCCCCGCTCTTTTTTGTCTAATTAACGGAGGCCAGGTGACAGGTGAAACCTTCAGAACGGGTAATCTAGCTACCCCCATTGTGCCCTTTAGTAATTAGCCCACATGATTCTCTAGGGCTTTTTGACGGGCCTTGTTTTCAGTGTACTATTGAAAAAAAAGGTAAAGGGGACGAACCTGTATTCACAGGAACGGAGCGCCCATCTCTCTTTCATAGCGATTGGGCCAGACTCGTATGCTGCTGTGGGGGATCGCCACACCTCCTCCACAGCGAGTCTTTTACCTTCCCAGCATTGAACCAATGCCGGTACCCATTTAACACCTGGGTTGAGAGGAGTAATTGAGGTGAAGTGCCTTACTCAAGGGCACAACACGCATGGCCATGGTGGGGCTCGAACCCACAACCTTTCGATCACGAATCCTGTGCTCCACCGCTAGACCAGACGTGTCCCCATACTATTGAAAAGCGGCAACGATTTCTCGCCATGTTAGGGGGATAATGTAGCAGTTCTGACTCTATAGTATAGCACTGTTCATGGTAGAAACTTGTGCTTTACAATTTAACCTACTAAATTACTAGTATAAGTTTACTTTGATTAAATATCCTACTGGTATACTAAACCCCCTGTGAAATGATTTCGTCTGGATTGCTGTCATTAATAAGAACAAAATAATAATAATAATAATGTAGGGCCTAGTTATTTCGGACGATCAGATGACTGACTGATTTTTGGAAATACAGAACACATTGTTATGGAGGTTGTGCACGCGTTTTTTTCGCCACTGAACTGAATCTTTAACAGGTTGGAATTTGAACATTCCCCCCGTGAACCCCCCCCCCCCCCCGCGACAAATCTGGATCCGACCCTGAATTGACCCACAAGTTGGATTTTTCACAAACAAAATCGCCCGAGTTTGAAGCCACCAGTCACAGGTGATTGATTTCCATTATTATTTCTGTAATCACTCCCAGTTTTAGGCCGCATGGACTTCATAATTCAAAATTACCACTGGGATCAGAAAATATGAATGAGCTCGCGCGCAGTAATTTACAGCGTTATGATCGTGTGCAGCCTACAGGCACATCTTAATTCCACTGTGCATGTGATGCAATATGCAAAGAATTGGTATCTCTGAATGTCACTTCATGCTAATATGGCATCGACCCCATCATCTAGATAATTAGTAAGATGTGATAATTGGAGTCCAAACTGAACACTTTCGCTAATTCAAAACTTGAAATTATTTAATTGGTTACTGGGTCGATTTGTTTTTGTTCGATATCTCATTGGAAAGCTGATATTAACTAATGTAATGCTAGAAGTACTTCTCTGAAGGAAAGCTTTATGATAACAAACTTAATTAGTTCCTTATTGTAACAATTGTTGGATGTGCTGTTAGTTGTTGCAGGTGACGTGGGGGATATGATAATGGAACTCTTTTTTTCTGGAGCGATGTGGTTGAGTCTTTCACAACATTTATGCCATCACGAGTCCAGTCACAAGTAAATAATAAGTCAATTCCCAAGTCTGGTTTAGGGGATGAACAGTAAATGCCTTCACCTTTGTCGCAGTGAATTTGAATAGCTTGTGACTTAATTGACTTGGGACTGGAGGACTTGTGAGTGATTTGTAAGTGGACTTGTGAGGATCATGTAATGAACTGGTGAATACTGTTCAACATTGATTTGAGGCTTGTTTATTACTGTATACATCGAATGAATTAATGAATCATGTTTATCAATTATTAGTGTTAGTTTTATGGTCAGACAGTCATGGCTGTATGTTGTTCTTTTCTTGTGTGTGAGCAAACTGGTAAATACAACATGAGCTTGACATTTCTGGAATTTTCTGTGGCCAAATCCCCGTTCGTAGTAAGCATTAATATACCGCTGGCCGATGCCCATTACTATGATCTTTCTCTAGATATTCTCGGTCCTCCTTTGGGTTCATTACTTTCCCTGACTGTTCGAGTATTTCTAACGCCATTGTATTATTTTGGTTTGTAGCTCTTTCTATCATTGGGAGGCCAACTGCCCAAAGCACCACTTATCGGAGCCCCACTTATGGTCCATTCCCAGGGGAATTAGCTGTTGACGGCGACATCAACACATATTCACACACTAGTAAGATTTTTTTTCTGAGTTTCATTCATTTCATTGAATTTACGTTAAAAAGGAAAAGGTCTGAATAGATGTTTTTATATATTAATGGATGGTATGTGTCGTGTAATTTTATGTAGCCTCCAAATTTCCTTAAAATTAATGTATATGCCGAAAGCACAGGGAAATAGAAGCCAGCTGTTTGCTTGGTGTCCCTGAGCAAGGCATTTTACCTCATTTGCATCTGCCCAGGATTTGGTTTTGGCTTAGGCTTTGGGAGTATCTACAATTGGCTGTCTGAAGTTTGTGTGTGTGTTAATTCCTCGTCTAAAAGGCAGCATTATAGGCATTTCCTCATTTTGCAGAGTCGGACGATCATCCGTGGTGGCGAGTCGACTTGGGCAATGAACACTGCTTGGGCAGAATCACAGTCACACTCAGACAAGGCTGCTGTGGTAAGGGACAACGCCATCATGATTTTCTTTTAACAGAGAGAACAATGTTCTTATACCATTGCAATTGGAAAAGTTCTTCTATTTGACCCCTGCAGTTGTCCACTGAAACGTACAAATGTGAAATGTTTTATAAATGTATAGGTGATAGATCTCAAGAATAAGCGAGGAAGTCCACTCATTTTAAAGATCATCTATAGGTCTTCAGAACATTTTGGTTTTCAGGTCCTTCTTTTTTATTTTAAATATATACAGGATCTAAAGACAGTGAAACCCACTAACGTTTGTTATTGGTTCTGATGCCAATTGATTGCAAAATGCAAAGGCTCCCAAATATTATGAACAGTTTCTTACAATTTTTCACAAAGTTAATTTCATTTTCTTTCCATGTGTCTCACTGTCAAGGGGAATACCGTTTCACAGCTGCCGTGGCACGGGCCGGTCTGGGCGTATTCTATGCTGAGAACCAACCGTGTGGGCAACCAGCGCCAAAGGCGCAGTCTTACGACGGCGCCGTGAACATATTCACGTGTGATACGCCACGGATGGCCAGATATGTGAGTCTCGACATCGACCCATCTAGCCCTGGTGTAACTAAGGCACTCCTGCAGATGGGTGAGGTGACAGTGGAAGAGGTTACATCTGGACAGTGTTATCCGGTTTTTGGTAAGACGATAACTCACATTAACTCCAGCATCTCATAAGATGCTGAAGTCTAATATGTTATATATCAGTAACTGTCGGCCCAGTTAGAGGTGTTTGTTTTGGTCTCTTGAATGTTTACACAGGAAATATTGAAGTATTGAAAAATGTTTATGATCGTTTAAATCGTCTGAATACTTTTTTTTATTGTGCACTCGCTCTTGCATTGTTATTTTGTTCACAGAGGGCAGTGTTCGATTAGTTGATGGAAACTCATCTTCTGAGGGACGTGTTGAGGTCTACTATCAGGGTAGCTGGGGAACTGTCTGTGATGACCAGTTCGATATCCATGATGCTGCCGTCATCTGTCATCAACTCGGTTTCCCATCTGCAGTGAGAGCTGTATCTGCTGCTGCTGAATTTTCCATCGGCAGTGGCCCAATTTTCCTCGACGATCTTGAGTGCTCAGGAGATGAAAGTACATTGGCAAATTGTTCCCATGCAGGATGGACTGAACATAACTGTGGCCACTTAGAAGATGCTGGAGTTATCTGTTCAACAGTTATCTTGACAACGGAAGACCCGGTTGTGTATGAAGGTAAATGGATTTTTTTTCGTCAAGTAATTATCTCTGAAAGAAAGTGTTATAATAACAAGCTTAAATACAATGTAGTTCCTTTTTGTAACAATTGTTGGATGTGCTGATATTTGTTGCAGGTGACGTAGGGGAATTGATATTATGGAACTCTTTCTGGAGCGATGTGGTTGAGTCTATCACAAATTTATGCCATCACAAGTCCAGTCACAAGTAAATAATAAGTTAGTTCACATGTCTGGTTAAAAGTAATAGGGATGGACATTAAAGGCCTTAACTTTTGTCACAGTTAATTTGAATAGCTTGTGACCTGACGCGGGACTGGATAATTATGAGTGATTTGTGAATGGACTTGTGAGGATCATGTAATGAACTTGTGAATACTGTTCAACATTGATTTGAGGCTTGTTTATTACTGTATACATCGAATGAATTAATGAATCATGTTTGTCAATTATTAGTGTTAGATTTATGGTAACACAGTCATGGCTGTATAGCTGCGGTTTTTCTTATGTGTGAGCAAACTGGCAAATATAGCTTGAGCTTGACATTTCTGGAATTTCCTGTGGTCAAATCCCCACTATAGTCTGCAGTATATACCTCTGGTCCATACTCATAACTTGGATGTTCTTTCTCAATAGGCCTATTTCCTCGGTCTCCCTGTGTGTTCATTTTTCTACGACTGTTTCGGTATTTCTTTTGACATTGTATTTTTTGGGTTTGTAGCTCTTTCAATCATTGGGAGGCCAACTGCCCAAAGTACCAGTCATGATCAATATCCAGGAGAGTTTGCTGTTGACGGCGATATCAACACATTTTCAGTCACTGGTAAGATCGTTTCTGAGTTTCATTAATTTGATAATAAATAGTATGTCAAGAATTCACGTTTGGAAAGGAAAAGGTTGGGATTGATGTTTTCATCCATAAATGGATGGTATGTTTCATTATTTGATGTAGCCTCAAAGTGTTGCTTAGAAACAAGGTATCTGCTGAAAACGCAGGGAAATAGAAGCTAGCAGTCTGCTTAGTATTGTGTCCCTGAGCAAGGAATTGTACCTCAACTCGCCTACTCCCATGGGTAGGATTTGGTTTTGGTTTTGGCTTTGGGAGTAACTACAATTGGCTGTTTGTTTTGTTAATTCCTCGTCTGAAAAGCAGTTGGTGTTTCCTCATTTTGCAGAGCCGAACGATCAACATCCGTGGTGGCGAGTCGACTTGGGCAGTGAATACTGCTTGGGCAGAATCACAGTGAAACTCAGACAAGGCTGCTGTGGTATGGGACAACACCATCGGGATTTTCGTTGAACAGAGTTTATAATTATCTTTTACCTTTGCAATTGAAAAATATTCTTCTATTTGACCCCCCCCCCCCCCCCAGTTGTCAACTGAAATATTGTGCAACTTTGAAATGTTTTATACATTTTTAGGTGGTGGTTCTGACAAAAAAAACCCGGAGAAATCCACTTATTCGCCACCGTATTAAAAGATCATCTTTAGGTCTTGAGAAGGATATTTGCTTTTTAAAATCTATTTGACTTTTAATTTTAAATATTTGTTCATCATAGAGGATCTAATTCTAAAGACAGTGAAAACCCACTTATGTTTGTTATTAGTCACGATGCCAATATTATGGATTGCAACATGCAAAGGCTCCTGGTTATTATGAAGACTTTCTTACATTTTCCAAAGTTCATTTCATTTTCTTTCCATGTGTATCACTGTCAAGGGGAATACCGTTTCACTGCTGCCGTGGCACGGGCCGGTCTGGGCGTATTCTATGCTGAGAACCAACCGTGTGGGCAACCGGCGCCAAAGGCGCAGTCTTACGACGGGGCCGTGAACATATTCACGTGTGATACGCCACGGATGGCCAGATATGTGAGTCTGGACATCGACCCATCCAGCCCCGGTGTAACTAACGCACTCCTGCAGATGGGTGAGGTGACAGTGGAAGAGGTTGCATCTGGACAGTGTTCTCCGGTTTTAGGTAAGAAGATAACTCACAACAACTCCAGCATCTCAGACGAGGCTGGAGTATAATCTGTTCTATATCAGCAACTGTCGGCCCAGTTAGAGGTTTCATGAATGCGAAGCTATTTTTGTGTCTCTTGAATGTTTAAAAAAAAGTTAATAATGAAAATTTTTTATGATCGTTTCAATCATCTGAATAGTTTGTAATTGTGTAGTTGCTCTTGTGTGTATCGCTCTTGTATTGTTATTTTGTTTTCACATTTTTGTTTTAGATTTCACATTATTCAAGGTAGTTCTACACCAGAAAATAAAAGCTTATGATAATTTAAATCATCTGAATATCTGTAAAAATTGTGTAGTTGCTTTTGTGTGCACTTGCTCTTGTATTACTGTTTTTTCCCCTAGATGGCAGTGTTCGATTAGTTGATGGAAACTCCTCTTCTGAGGGACGAATTGAGATCTTCTTTCAGGGTAACTGGGGAACCGTCTGTGATGACCTTTTCGATATCCTTGATGCTACTGTCATCTGTCATCAACTTGATTTCCCATCTGCGGTGAGAGCTGTATCTGCTGCCGCTGAATTTTCTGTTGGCAGCGGGCCAATTTTCCTTGACAATGTTGAGTGCGCAGGAGATGAAAGTGCACTGGCAAATTGTTCCCATGCAGGATGGACTGAACATAACTGTGACCACTCAGAAGATGCTGGAGTCATCTGTTCACCACTTATCTTGACAACGGAAGTCCCGGTTGTGTATGAAGGTATATGTGATTGTTCTTGTCAAATAATTCTCTGAATGAATATCTGATAATAGCAGGCTGTGGTTCCTTCTTGCCACAAGTTTTGGATGTGCTGCTATTTGTTGCATGTGACATGGGAGGATTTGAACAAATGGAGATCTTTTTATGGGCCTAGGCATCAGAGGTGACGTTATGGCCGAGTATTTCACATAGATAAGCCGCGACAAGTCCTGTCGCGAGTGAATAATAACTTAGTTCACAAGTCTGGTTAAAAGTAAATAGCGGATGAACATTAAAGGCCTTCGCTTTTGTCACAGTTAATTCCAGTAGCTTGTGAAATGACTGCATGGGGACTGGAGGACTCGTGAGCGTTGACTTGTGACATGTAATAAACCTCATTACAAATTGAGGCTCGTTTGTTACTGTTTATATCGAGTGAATTTATGATTCTAGCTGTTTGTCAATTGTTAGTGTTGTTTTTATGATCAAGCAGTCATTGCTGTACGTTGATCTTAGCTGCACTTTTTCTTGTGTATTAACAAACTTGGAAATACAGCTTGACCTTGACATTTCTGAAATTTGTCTGCGGTCGAATCCCCATCCTAGTCTGCTGTATATGCCCTGAGTGCTTGTGTATTTAGACATTGTATCATTTTGGTTTGTAGCTCTTTCTATTGTTGGGAGGCCAACTGCCCAAGGCACCAATTCTAGAAATACAGGAAAAAATGCTGTTGACGGCGATATCAACACATCTTCAGCAACTGGTAAATCTTTTCTGAGTTTCGTTCATTTGATATTAAAAAGTATGTCACGAAGTTTGAAAGGAAGATGTTTGAATGGGGGTTTTTATCTATAATGGATGTGTTTCTTGATTTGATGTAGCCTCCAAAATGTTCCTTAGAAATAATGTATACGCTGAAAACACTCGTAAGATCTTGTATGAGTTGAGCCATATTATCATAAATCGTAAAAAAATATTCTAATCAATGCAAATGGCTGCAAATACAATTTTTGGATGAATTACTAAAGTTCGAAAGGAAGGGGATCGAATTGGTGTTTATATCCATAAATATATGGTTTTTTTTACTAGATAGAATTTTAGCAGAAAGATTTTGATTAGTTTTGTGTTCCTGAGCAAGGCTTTTATCCCAACTTGCAGGTTCTGGCTTTTGGAGTATAACAATAGTCCGGCTGGCCCATTTGTTTATTCCTCTTCTGAAACGAAGTGGGGTTTTCCTCATTTTGCAGATTTGAATGATCCACATCCGTGGTGGCGAGTCGACTTGGGCAGTGAATACTGCTTGGGCAGAATCACAGTCACACTCAAGCAAGGCTGCTGTGGTAAGAACACCACCATCCTAAGTTTCTCTTACCAGACTATCATGATCCTCTATCATTCCAATTGAAAAACCCACCTGTGTTTGTAATTAGTCCTGATGCCAAGTTATTGCAATTGGCAATGGCTCATCATGAGTGTTGTAAAGGCTTTCTTGCATTCTCCAAAGTTAAGTTCAATTTCTTCCCATTCGTCTCACCGTAAAGGCGAGTACCGTTTCACCGCTGCTGTTGCACGGGCCGGTCTGGGCTTATCCTATACTGAGAACCAACCGTGCGGGCAACCGGCCAAAAAGGCGCAGTCTTACGACGGGGCCGTGAACGTATTCACGTGTGATACGCCACGGATGGCCAGATATGTGAGTCTGGACATCGACCCATCCAGCCCTGGTGTAACTAACGCATTCCTGCAAATGGGTGAGGTGACAGTGGAAGAGGTTACATCTGGACAGTGTTCTCTGGTTTCTGGTAAGACGGTAACTTACATTAACTCTAGCATCTCAGAAGATGCTGGAGTAATCTGTTTTACATCAACAAATGTTGGCCAAGATCTGAGTTCTAGGAATACCAAGTTTTTTGGGTTTTTATATGTGTATATCTTGAATATTAAAAAAAACCATATTCGTCATCGTTCGTGTGAAGGTTTCTTAAAGTGAATCGCAGTGGTTTTTTCATTAAGCCATGTGATGAAATCAGCATCGAGGGTGTTGATGCCGCTGTGTCCTGTGAGAGGTTTGTGAACTACAAACTCCTCAAAGATATGTTCAAGTGTGTAATGAGAGCCACATGGACATGTATCTGTCTCGGCCAGGCCAATTTTATTTAAGTACCGTGTGTTTGCCCAGCCAGACCGGACGCGATTCAACTGGACCCAAGCTTGACATGGAAGTTGGTTGGCGAATGTATGTATTGTCTCAGCCTGGAATTAGAATTCGCCCATTCTGCCTTCCATGTGTCTTCAACCCAGGATGACGGTTGCAGTCCATCAGAGAACCTGTGCATGTGACCAAGTGATTGCGTTCGAGTCTTTGTAGGTCAGGGCTAGATGGAACAGGGGGCACTACGGAGCCTGGCAGGGCTGATTTGGCTGCAAGCTGCAGGAGTTTATGGTTCCGTCTGATTTTAGGCAGAGGGATTCCAGCGCTGACAGGAAAGTTGTCAACAGGAGTAGGTATTAATGCCCCATCCTCATAGCACGGTTCATTGCTACGTTGACCTTCCTTGTGTGAGAGCTAGGACCATGGCAGGCATACTCGGTGCTGACCAGCTGAGTAAACAAGAGCCATGAGTACAAATCTGGAGTGTCTTGAAGTCAGCGCCCCATTCGGAACCAACCAGTTTCTTGATCAGATTAATTCTGGCATCCATTTATTGGCTCACCTTCTCCAGGTGGGCTGCAAGGGTGAGACTTATGTCTAAGGTGATGCCAAGATAGACTAGGTGGAGCTCGAACTTGACTCTTTCACCATCGAGGAAGATGTTCAGCTCCAGTTTGGCTTTTCTGTGAGCAAGGTGCAAGACGGAGCAAACAGTTTTCCCTAGGCCGAGTTTGAGATGCTAAAGGATGTAGTATTTGCTGATTGCCTCTAGGTCACGCTCTTTGTCAGAGTAGCCTAGAGCTGAATCATCGGCGTAAAGAAACTGTGCAGAGCTGGTATGGGGCATGTCGGATGTGTAGATGCTATATAGTGTAGGGGCCAACACTGAACCTTGTTAAAGACCGTTTTTGAGCTTTCGCTTACTGTTGCGTTCGCCACCTGCGTGTGTTTCCAGAGGCAATGCGCGATCTTGTATCAGTGTCATAATTAATTTCACCAGTTTCAAATCTGGTATCATCTGTAGTAGCTACAGATGTGATTCATGGTGCCAAATATTGGGGTCATAGGCAGCACTATATGTCTACTGAAACTAGACCATACTTTTCCTTTCTCTGGAAGGCTGATTCGTTTTGGGTACAACCCTTACGATTTGGTCAGTGGTTGAGCGATTTTTCCTTAAGCCAGCTTGGTTGTTGTTCATGAGGCATTCGCTTTTGCTTGCTTGTCGACAGTTGAAGCTATCTTTGAAAGTGGCTTCGCAATCCTCATCCTAGCATGGAATGCAGTCTTCTTCTGCTACGCGAGATTAGTGGCTTTTCTATTTAGCATGTTTGTGAAGGCGATGTATGCTGAGGATTTGTTGCGCGGTGGCGATGGTAAATTATTTGTTAGGGAGTTAATGAGCTCACAAAACTTCTCCCAGCCTTTCTAAAATTCTAACGCCTCGTGTTCAACAAAAGAAATGTGATGTTCTGACTCACTGCTGCGGATGATTATTGGGCAATGATGGGATTTGTTTAATTGCTGAAGGACAGAGCGCTGCCATTTGGATGACAGATCTTGCGAGACAAACGAAATGTCTGAAGTAGTCCCGGACTTGTATGGACTAGAAAAGAATGTTGGTGACTCTTCAGTGTCGCACATGAGATGTAGTTTATGTACTTCTGCCCAGGAATATACGATCGCATCTATTGGAGTTGGTCACCATTGGGTCTTCTTTTTAGTCTGGATTGGCTATTTTGTTCTCAGACGTCCAGCAGCGAGTATTTTTCTCATAAAGACTGCTGGTAGGAGACAATTCTGTGCAAGTATCACTTGTTGGTAGCTTCTGATGCTGTCTATAGTTTACTTCGGAATGGAGCCGTAGCAGGATCATCACGAGCAGGTAGACAGCGATATCCCCCAAAAAAGATATCAAGGGATTGCAAAGAACTGCCAATGATCGTTTAAATCATCGTAATAGATTATAACTTAGTTGCTCTTGTATGCACTCGCTCTTCTATCGTTATTTTTTTCCACAGATGGCAGTGTTCGATTAGTTGATGGAAACTCCTCTACCGAGGGACGAATTGAGATCTTCTATCAGGGTAACTGGGGAACCGTCTGTGATGACCTTTTCGATATCCTTGATGCTACTGTCATCTGTCATCAACTCGGTTTCCCATCTGCATTAAGAGCTGTATCTGCTGCTGCTGAATTTTCCGTTGGCAGTGGAGCAATTGTCCTGGACAATCTTGAGTGCTCAGGAGATGAAAGTACACTTGCAGATTGCTCCCATGCAGGATGGGCTGAACATAACTGTAGCCACTCAGACGATGCTGGAGTCATCTGTTCACCACTTATCTTGACAACGGAAGTCCCGGTTGTGTATGAAGGTATATGTGATTTTTCTTGTCAAATAATTCTCTGACTTGTGACATGTAATAAACCTCATTACAAATTGAGGCTCGTTTGTTACTGTTTATATCGAGTGAATTTGTGATTCCTGTTTCTCAATTGTTAGTGTTGTTTTTGTGATCAAGCAGTCATTGCTGTACGTTGATCTTAGCTGCTTGTTTTCTTGTGTGTTAACAAAAAGGGAAATACAGCTTGACCTTGACATTTCTGATTTTGTCTGCGGTCGAATCCCCATCCTAGTCTGCTGTATATGCCCTGAGTGCTTGTGTATTGAGAGTCATTGTATCATTTTGGTTTGTAGCTCTTTCTATCATTGGGAGGCCAACTGCCCAAGGCACCAATTCTGGAAATACAGGAAAAAATGCTGTTGACGGCGATATCAACACATCTTCAGCAACTGGTAAATCTTTTCTGAGTTTCGTTCATTTGATATTAAAAAGTATGTCACGAAGTTTGAAAGGAAGATGTTTGAATTGGTGTTGTTATCTATAATGGATGTGTTTCTTGATTTGATGTAGCCTCCAAAATGTTCCTTAGAAATAATGTATACGCTGAAAACACTGGTAAGATCTTGTATGAGTTAAGCCATATTATCATAAATCGTAAAAAAAATATTCTAATCAATGCAAATGGCTGCAAATACAATTTTTGGATGAATTACTAAAGTTCGAAAGGAAGGGGATCGAATTGGTGTTTATATCCATAAATATATGGGGTTTTTTACTAGATAGAATTTTAGCAGAAAGATTTTGATTAGTTTTGTGTTCCTGAGCAAGGCTTTTATCCCAACTTGCAGGTTCTGGCTTTTGGAGTATAACAATAGTCCGGCTGGCCCATTTGTTTATTCCTCTTCTGAAACGAAGTGGGGTTTTCCTCATTTTGCAGATTTGAATGATCCACATCCGTGGTGGCGAGTCGACTTGGGCAGTGAATACTGCTTGGGCAGAATCACAGTCACACTCAAGCAAGGCTGCTGTGGTAAGAACACCACCATCCTAAGTTTCTCTTACCAGACTATCATGATCCTCTACCATTCCAATTGAAAAACCCACGTGTGTTTGTAATTAGTCCTGATGCCAAGTTATTGCAATTGGCAAGGGCTCATCATGAGTGTTGCAAAGGCCTTCTTGCATTCTCCAAAGTTAAGTTCAATTTCTTCCCATTCGTAAAGGCGAGTACCGTTTCACCGCTGCTGTTGCACGGGCCGGTCTGGGCTTATCCTATGCTGAGAACCAACCGTGCGGGCAACCGGCCACAAAGGCGCAGTCTTACGACGGGGCCGTGAACGTATTCACGTGTGATACGCCACGGATGGCCAGATATGTGAGTCTGGACATCGACCCATCTAGCCCCGGTGTAACTAACGCATTCCTGCAAATGGGTGAGGTGACAGTGGAAGAGGTTGCATCTGGACAGTGTTCTCGGGTTTCAGGTAAGGACTGTATCCTTGGTTTTATTTTCTGTCCTCTTGATAAACAGCATTTGCTCAAAACAATCGCAACACCTCTGCGCTCTGGCCAGGGCGCCGTAATGACGCGACTCGGGCGCTGTGCGAGCGTGAATCGAGCGACATTGAAATGGCATTGAGGCAAATAGGAACAAGGCAGTGGACGTAGTCTTCATGAGAAAGTAACTCGACCACGATGAACACAGAATAATCTTTTTAGACTGGTCTTCGTATTGACCGTTTTGTCGTGGTATTTATAAAATGCAAGTGACGTCACGTGAGCGTATTTTGGTCGAATAGAGAGCGCGAGGCATGCTATCAGGACGTATCAACAGCGAGCAGAGCGTAGTGTGGGCGCAGTGACAGCGCAGCAGCAGCGACTAGATCGAGTAATTGGGCTTGACAGGGGCGCATAGAGAGCGAGTTGAGCGCATAGTACGCGAGGGATGAGCGCAGTACATAGAGCTATACTAAATTTTATATAGCTCTATCCGCGCCGTTCACAAGTACCCCCTCGCCGGCAAAAGAAGTACAGTTGGGGGTGCACGGCCACTGCGTGTACATAGAACAAATCCCCTGGTGTACGCGCGTTACAGACACAAGGAACGGTGCTCGTCAACCAGCGAAATGTACCCATGGGACGTCGTTGCTAGGTAAAAGGGTGCCCTCTTTTGGTTGCGCACGGAGCTCATGGCGCAGTATGAGCGTAGCTTGAGCTTCTTTGAGACAGAAAGTTGTCGTTTTATTGCGTTCTCGCTGCGATTGTTAGAATTATGAGGGAAAAAATGGTCGCCGTAAGGTCTCCTATGAGAGCGCATATAATGTGACAGGCCCTTTCTGATAAAGAAAGAAATCGCTGAAATTAGCAATCAATGAGGCCAAGTACATGGCACACACAATTCGACCATTATTCATTTGCAATGTACCGAAAATATTCAGCTGTGTCCAGGTCAAGGGTACTAGGTTTGTGTAGTACGCCCCGGCAGCAAAACACGAAAGGGACATGAATATATCAACTTTATTACATGTATCAGGATGGACGTGGCGATGGCGTGAAACAGACATCCTTAGTCAACAATGATTTGGTGAAATCACAATATCACACAAATAGAGCAATTTGGGGAAGTAACGCTAGACGTGCGGCGTCTGGACGGTCGCAGATTCCAAGCTTTAAAATGGTGTAAAAATAATGGCGGTACGTGTTTCCGCGCCGACGCTAGAGCCTCGCAAAAAAAAGGTTGCGGGTATTTTGGGATGCGCTGTAGTTAGCACAAAAAAAGGCAAAGCTAAAAGTATAATTTATAACATATTACCGGTTCTTGTTTTTATTTTAGGCCGGATAAATGGATCGATTATTGCAGTGATTGCCGTTGCCGCTGCTTTAGTCCTCATTATTGGCATCATCCTCATCACCCTGGTCATCAGAAAGGTCAGGGCTAAGAGAACAAGGAGCCACTCCTCCTACCAGATGGCCATCCCACTATCCCTGTCCTCCCCGTCCCCAATTCCGTGAACCCAGGACCAGCTTGACAAAAATATACACATCCAGTAAGCCACGCCTCCTGACAAATTGACCAATCACAGTGCGTGATTTAAGGTCCAACAAAATGTCGCCATTTTGTCCGACACAATTTTTTTGCTTTGGTATTGTTAGCCGCACACTTTTTGTTGGTTTTACTTTTGTTTCATTTGTACACACTGTTTCTATATATAATCAACCTCGTTTTTACCATAGTCATGGTCAAGCGCTGTTGCTATGTTAATTGTAAATCTGACTCCCGTTTCCCCCCAAAAAGAGTAAAGGTGTTATTGACCATTTCCTAAGTCAAGGACGAACAGCAAAAAGTATACTTTGTGGCTAAAAGCGTGCGGTGGGGCTGCCGGGCCAAATAGTCGTCTAGAAGTGAACAACATAACCGGGCACTCGTTCATGTGTTGGTCGGGCGATAGTAGGGCCCAAGTTGAATGCCAGACATGGCGTTTCAAATAATTAACAGCCCAACCATTTGCCAACAAAAAATGAGATTTCAACCACAAAACGGCCACAGAATTACGAGGAACGCCACCCGAGATACAAGTAGAGATCAATGATTAAGATCGAGGTTTAAGGTCAACTTACGATCTGGATGAACAGTGAAATTTACCGTTTATCGACAAGGGCTCCGTCGCGAATATGTTACCCCATATTTTGGGTATTTTTTTTGATTTTTTGAAAAGTATATCTTGGTGATTCTACTTTTACATCATAACTTCAATAACATTTTCTAAAGCATATAAGTGACTGAATTATTATGAAGACAAAGTAACGATTCAAAATGGCTACTATTATACCCTAAAATTGCGCGCATTTACCTTGTCTCCGGATATCATCAAGTAGTCTTGCCAAACCTCAGTACTGATGAGCTTCAAATTCGCCAAGTTGCTTACTGACACTGTTACCCTATTAAAACTTTATGGAAAATAACGATTTTAAAGTTTTAAAGTTCTGTCCACGTATCACAAAAAGGTAAGTGTTCTTTCAGCAAAACGGAAACAAATCACATAGGGATGTGTGTGAATTGTTTTCGTTTTGCTGAAAGGAGACAATTTTGTTGTGATCCGTGGACAGAACTTTAAAACGGTGGTTGTCTTTAAAATTCCGGAACTTGAAAAGTACATAAGCGATTTGACTGATTCTTGTCTTAAAAGAAAGCTTGTGAATTGGGCTTTTATATCCTAGATTTTGAAAGTGCTCCATGCAGAACTTCACTAAAACAATAGTCCTGACATTTGGGTTTCGGTGGGGTTTTTTTTACTCACCCTGTAGAGCCTGATAGTGATAGTACGCCATTTTGTCTTTGAGCTTCTGCACCCCTCCGCGACCCTTCTATGGGCATTTTACACGGGGTTGCCCTTTCTCTTGCTAGAATGATTTCTAAACTGTAATCATTCCAAGAAACATTCATGGAGGAAGTTTATCTTGGCATTCCACAAGAAAAAAAGACGAGAAATCAGTTGGACATGGGTAAAAACGAATTTTGATTACGACCTTTCAAATCAGGATTTTCGTATACCTAGGTCTCCTTGTTCGATCACGTTTGTTTTCACATCGCGTACTTGTGTGAGAACGAAATGATAAGGACGCAAAGGTTTACCTACCTACATCTGATGAATTCTAGATTTAGTCGGGCTTGCTTGAATACATTTTTATCAACAGCCATTTTATATTTTTTTCTAAAGAGAATTTGCACTTCAAATTTGTTGAAAAAATGTGTGTCCTTAAAAGATATTTTAGTTTAAAAAATGTTCATCTTTGTACGAGTGTTCCGAGTTCCACTAGTTCACATGTATTTTAGACTTTCGGAAGTGAGAGGTCAATTTATGGCACGATATTTCTCTTTCACGTCAGACAATTTTTCAGTTTCCATAAATTGAGATGCTAGTAACAATTTTACAAAGGCCTTTTCCCGAGGGTGATTTTTTTTTAAGAAATCAATGTACCATAAATACTTTTGAAAAACTCCGACATTTACACGCTAATTTTCCTATTCGAGGGGTCCAGAAGCGCGCCACCAGGGGTCAACTTTCAGGCTCTATACCCGTTCTTTCGGAATGCAGTGATCATTTTTCCTTTGTACGAAACGATATGCTATCAGTACTGATCAAACTGTGGCAAGAATGGGAAAGGCTTCCTTTATATTGTTTCTTAAGTTATTCTTGATAAACAAGCGTTTGAATTATAGGGCTAAGGTTTCGTAATCGGGAAATTTACCTTTCTCAAGAAAATAACTGAAAATGTTCATGAAATATCAAGAGGATTTTGCACGTAATTCTAATTGTAGTATTTTTAACTTGGCTTATCTATCGCTACAGCTGCTATAGAAATAGCTCAAACTCTTATTTGATGTGAATGACAATCTACTACCTACAAATATTATATTGTTTGTAGTTTAGCCATAAAGCTGTTAACATTTTTGCAGCAACTGCTTTGATCTTATCATAATGTTTGTAACGCTTCAAACTCTATCAAAGCAGAAGTTTAATATTTCCTAATTTGAATGTGATACTCGTAAACAGTTCTTCCAGTAGGACTGTTAATTTTCTTTGACTAAGTCGTCGAAATGTGACATTTTAAAATTGCATTAATGTCTATGTGTTTGCAAAGAACTTTGCTGTATTTTGTGCATTTTTGCGTGACAAGTGCAGTATAAGGTCATGTCACACGAGTCAATGTACAGGAAACTTTCTCAAATTAAGAAGAAAACGACCATGCTAATTTCTTCTCATGTTATGTTCAAAGTTATTTCCATAAACTGTTTAGACCATTCGTTCGTGAGTGTTCCCCTGGCAGTGCATTTGGTTTCCTCCAAACTGCCAGTAATTATTGTCTCGTGTGGCTTGGCCCTAAGACTGATAAATGTCATGGCCTTGTGTTTGAATACATTTAATACTTTTTTGGCTTTTCCGCAAATTTGCGGAAAAGCCTTTGTTATTGTTCTCATCTTTTTTTGTTTCTTTCTCCCAGCGCTTTTGGGCATTCGACATTTGTATACATCGTTCAAAGTTAGCATATGCATAGTCCCTATAGCAAAGTTGTGTCCCGAAGAGTGACATCATGATGACGTCGTCCAAAGTGTTATTTTTTTTGTGACGTCATATTAAAGGTGCGTTTTTCAGTGGCCTATATCTACAGAACTACAGAGCCGATTGGGTTGAAACTTTGCATGTACACATACCGGAATGTGTTGTAGATTAAAATTGAGGTGACGTCATGATGACGTCATCAGATGATTTAATATGGATTTTTGACATTTTGAAATTCTTTCTTTAATAGCTTTGTCAGGTCATTGCTATTGGTACAAAAATATTGAAAAGTGTCTGACGTCATGATGAAGTCATGAGAATGCTATTTTTTAACATATATATTGGAAGATCCTATCGTCATGAAACTTGGTGGGAAGCTAGGTAATATTAATATGCGAAATCCGAACTCAAAACAAAATTTGAGACTTGTTTTGCTCAGATCCTGTCCAAACTCGACACAGAACAAGATCGTCATCATGACGTCATCATTGGCCATTTGACGTCATCATAAATGTGCATTTTGCAAAGTCCTATATCTAAAGAACTAAAAGTCCGTTTGCATTCAAACTTCTGTATGTTTATAGATAGGGATGTCATTGCAGGGTTCGTCCTTAGCGGTAGCCCGCTAGCTAAATGTGAGTCAAAACAGCGGCAGGCTAGTCTAAACGACTCTCTTAATAAGTAGCCCGCCTGGTTAGTCAAAATGATTGAGCTAAGGCATGACATTTTTTGGCGTTTTCGCAGATTTCCGTGTGTTTTTTAAAAGCCGGTCTTAGAAAAAAATAATCTGATCCTGACGCGCATTTGGCTTGTATCATGCCGTTGCGCCGCCGAATCCTGCGCCGAAATCAGTAGCGTATGGATAAAAGAAAGCACATAGACTGGCACTTCGCTTTGCATAGGTACATAAAAGCATAAAAAGTATGTATTCTCCAGCATACCGTCTGGCCTTTTTGTGAATGAGCGTATCGCCAAAGCGCCCTCTATTTACTCTTGCAATAAGTTAGAATAAATTATAAGAAAGAACATAGACTGGCACTTCGTTTCGCATAGGTACATAAAAGCATTAAACAAAGTACAAGACACAGACTCCGTATGTATTTTCCAGCATACTGTCTGGCCTTTTTATTAATGAGCGTGTCGCCAAAGCGCCCTCTATTTACTCTGGCAATAAGTTAGAATAAATTATAAGAAAGAACATAGACTGGCACTTCGTTTTGCATAGGTACATAAAAGCATTAAACAAAGTACAAGACACAGACAGTGTATGTATTTTCCAGCATACTGTCTGGCCTTTTGTATTAATGAGCGTGTCGCCATATCGCCATCTATTACTCTGGCAAAAGTTAGAATAGTTAAGAATTTTACATCGTAGAAATGTCACTAAAACATCGGTGAAGAAAACAATTGGCGCCGATAACGTGTTGCCGCGAGGTTTTCATGGCAGTCCATGCGCGCTGATACCGCTCGGTACCGTCCCCAACAGACAGTGCTGGGTACTTTCCTTTCATGACTGTTATATCCCCCCCCCCTAATTATTATCTTTTTGAGTGTCCAGTTTGATAGTTTTTGTGTCGCCAAAATGGTACCGAAAAAAGGGGGATATTAGTTAATTTATTTTTTAAAGTTGATTACATTGATGAATGAATAATTTATAATAATGTTAGTCATTTTGTATCTGTTTGAATTCAATTTTATTAGATATGTTTGTTGAAAGCAATGACAAGATTGCCTCAGGATAAAGTTATACATGTATGCACATTGCTGTAGTGTTCTGGTGCCCCCCCCCCCCCCCAAAAAAAAAATTGTTGTGGACTAGTGAAGAGGCCCGCTGGCTAGTTAAGAGTCTGGTCCACTAGTCCGGCTGGCTAGTAAAGAAAAAAGTTAAGGGCGAACTCTGTATGATGTGTTATCATTGAAAGATGACATGACGTCATGGTGACGTCATCACATGATTTTATAGATTTCTGAAATTTTGAAGATTTTCGCCAGACCTCCAAACACAACATGCTAAATTCAAAATTATCTGCGTTATTAATAGGTTTGTTAGGTCAATGGTATTTGCACCAATATGTTCAAGAAGTGTATGTCATCATAACGTCATCAAAAATGCGGTCTGATCGTGTATGAAACTTTGTGGGAAGGTAGATAATGTAACTAGTATGCACAATTCGAAATAACATCAAGATGACGTCATCAACTGTTTTTTTTATAAATGTTAAAACTGCTATGTTTTAGCTACTAGCGAAATCTTACATTTTAAATGCATGTGTTCACGTTTCGCAAAAAGTGCCTGATTTCAATTTACGGGGAAATTGTCATGTTTTATGGGAATAGAGTTTTGCTTGTTTAAATGGGGATTTCAGTATAAACAGCATTCTGATATAGGATGCAGTTTTTTTTTAATTAATGGGTGTGTCACTCCCCCAACAAGAACCTATGGCATAATTTGGACTCATCTCTATGATTATCGATCCAGGGTAATTTCAGAATTTCGACTTAATAGAATAAATCAAGATTTAGCTTAGTCATATAAATTTCATTGGCAAATATCAACATTGTATGGCTGTGCTTCAAAGTTTCTACTGAACTGAAGACGGTTTTACACTTAAAAGAGAAAAATTGCAGTTTTAAGTAATGTATTTTATGTGTTTGTGTTAGTAGTAAACATGTTGGTTGCCATATTAGTCAATAACTGCTCCTTCATTCCAGCTCAAAGCTATGAAATGAGAATGGTATTTAGTTTTAGCCGTATAAAATTTGCTTTGGAATTTGACA